TGACTTGTCTGGTGTTTCTCTGACAAGCATAAATCGCTTGAAATCCAACCTGAAAGAAAATGGATTTTCGACTGCAGTGAAAAAACGATCTCTGAAAGCCGGTACAGACAAATCTCAATCAAACGACATGATAAGCTAACTTTAGCAACAATACGAAAAAAAGTTTACTGTTTCTTTTTACCGAATGAGCCCAGGAAAACCTTAAAAATGGTCATTTCTAGCCATGTAACGTGATCCTCAGGTTAGATTGTTATGATGTATATAATGCATGCGTTTGCAAGAATATTCTGCTCCACCGACTTTACTTTTATATAGGGTCAAGCAAAAACAAATCAAACAAAAAAATCCTTTTATACAAGGTCAAGCGAAAACAAACCACACACACACACACACACACACACAAAAAAAAAAAAAAAAAAAAAAAAAAGATTGTCGAAGATAGAAGTAAAAAGGTTTATTATACGAATCGTTTGCTAAAACCGAAAGAAAATATATCTTGAAAGACTGCTTCCAGAGAATATTTTTTGAAGGGAAAGCATATATCATTAATTGAATCTCGATTTTATATGTTTCTTTGTGTGTTGCCGAAAAAGATGTGGAATGGCTTTATTGTCAAATTGTCTGCAACAACAGCATTTCATCAACATTTTGCTAATTTTTATTGTATGCAGAAAATTCAAGAAAAATGTGTATGCATGAAAATTTTAATGATTGTTTAAGATATTATTAACTTATTATTAATTATAAAAGAAGAACAGCTATCTTATGTGCTATCGAAATTAAAAGAAAATAATCATTAAATTAAATCATAATATATCTGCTTGGCACTGGTACAGAATTCCCTAAACGTTAAAACGATCATTCGTTAGTTTACTTGAATTATGAATAAGTTAAGCTATTGTTGATGATTCTAGACGGTTAGCGAAGAAATTTAATTTTTGTCACTGATAACATTCCATTGAGAATTATTTAGACAAACTTTATTATAGCACCTGTCGACTGCTTATTCAAGTAGATACTAAGAACGACAAACCACTACCAGCTTCGGTATTATCATCATCTGGGATAAATAAGTTTTCTTTAGACATACAAAAACATATAGTTGCACTACTATTACAACAAATTTGTAGATGATGAAGTGGTCTGGTAGTTTGCTTGAATCCTATATCAATTACGCAATTGCTGACCATTCTGGATAGTTACCAAAGACATTTTACAATTCTCAAGGATACCATTCCATTAGGAATCATTTTGACAAACTTTCATTTCATTGTCAGTCAAGTGTTTTGACATTAGGACTAGCATCTCTGCTTCTAGTAGTATTATTTATAGATTGTATCGTGTCGAGTGGAAAATTATCTTTAAATTTCAGGTAAGGCATTTTAGTTTTGAGATTAGTAGATAGCCATCATGATAGCTTTAATATGTTATTATCATCTGTCTGCCTATTCCATCAAATATTTTTCCTTTCAAACATAATCATGTTGCGTGTTCGGATGTTTAATACCCTTGACACTGAATTTGAAATCCTTGTAGTTGTAATATTCGTTAAATATAGTGTGAAGTAAGCTGGAATCCATGCGGATTCAGTAAGATTTACTACGTGTTCTCTTTAAGACTTAATTAACATTTTGCTAATTTTTATTGTGTAGTTATTAGTTCTTTACTGCTAGAAAGGTAAATTTCGATTGGTAAACATGGCAATATATACATAATTAAATAGCATATTAGGAATATAACATGTTGGAAGTGGAAGTGATTTAACTTTTACTTAGAGCACTCATTTTTACCGAGTATATTATTTCTATAGAATTAATAACAATTTAAATACACAACGCGAATATGATAAGTGTTGGATTAAAATCTTTTAAAAGCACGTAATCACGCCTAATGGTTTATAACTTTGTATTTTTTTACTACTTTTAGTTTGTAACTGCTGAAAATTAAGCTGCCTCTAAAATCACTTTATTCTACCACAATTCCAATCAGTGTGAGGTGGTTGTTGATTTTTCATTTGGAAGATATAGGTTAAAAAAAATCTGATTGATATAAATTTTGCTCCTTAAAATATTTCAAAGTTCTCATCCTTAATTTAACATCGAAAGAACTTTCTCTGGGGTATGAGTGAGTAAAAGAAATTATTCATGTTCATATAAAAGCGGCAGAAGAAGAAGAAAAATTTGTTAAATTCAAAGAGGGCGAAGACACATGAGACAATATTCCTTTCACACGATTAGTGTCAAAACACTTCAAGCGCAACTGTCACATTAAGGAATGAAACTATGTCTATCCTAAAAATCGAAATATGTATGCGAAGAAGCTATGAATCACATCAGACCTCAGCGGGCTCAGATTAGCCTGCTTCTTCCACAACTCTTATTGCTAAAGTAAGTGGCGAACTTTTGCCATTAAAACCACCCGGACAGTAGCTCTTGCCGGATTTCCCAGGACAGCTGCTATGATGAATTACAGTGCAACTAACCATGTACGGTGAGCGAACGATAAACAGGAGGAGAATTCGGTGAGTATGGTGACGGAGGGAAGGCATACTAGGAGGCAGAGCAATCTTTAGAAGGTTTTAGGAGCACCTTTTCGTGTACTTAAAAAAGAAAGAGAGAAAAAGCGTATGGAGTAGGATAGGTGCTTGTAATAACCGATAAGCTTTCAATGACATGGCTATATTTTTTTTTCCTTTCGTTTATGGATGGTTTAGTTCTTGGCAGAGTGTGTTGATTGTTTAAGATTATTGATCTCCTTAGATTTGCGGTTTTTGTTTTTGAAGGTATGAATCCGAAATTTTGAAAGCTCTTCTCTTTTGTAGAATGTGATTTTGAAACGGCAGCACGTATAAATAGGCCAAATTTTGCTCATTTTAAAGCAAAATGAGCGGATATATTTAAGATGTCATGATATTTCGTAACACAATTCAAATGCAGTTTGCACGTATTAATTGATTTCTTAATTTAATAATATATTTTTAACATTTTTTCATTATTTTTTAACATGGACCTTGTTGATGTTTCCTACTCAAAGGGCCAATCTTTTGACTCTTTAATGCTGTTCATTTGGATTCTGTTTCTGGGAGAATAATGTGCCAACTTAGCACTGTCATAGTTTTTTCTTCTTGCAGTATTGGTAATAATCTTGTTATACAGCTATGATTCAGTTTTTCTGAAAGAGTCCTCTATGAAGATAATTCTATTGCAGCAAATCATCATGTGCTTTCAAGGACTACTAATTTGTCAGCTGTTGTCAGTTTTCTTTAGTTAATTACCAAGAATAATTGCCACTTGGCCCATCCCAGTAGTGCGGAATATTCCTGTAATGTTATATACTGGAGACAAGAAAACGTAATCGGTATATATTCTCATGGTTTCCTAAGATTTTTCACCGAAAACCTTTCCCAGCAGAGAGCATGTGAAAAATATCCATTAAAAACGTGCTTCCCGAGAAGAAAATAATAAAAATAATTAAAAAATATTGCTTTAGGAATGGATATGTGCGAACTGTAAATCTAGCAGCGTTTAATCAGTTTCATAATAACTGCAACTATATGCGTTTACTACTTTTGATAAGAATAGTTCTCATGTAAGTGAACCTTGAAATTAGTTTAAATGTGTCGAATGATTAGGGTCGAAGTGAGAAAAACTGCTTTAACATGTATGTGATGATGGAAACAATATGTCACCAGGACAAAAAGTTTGTTTATTATTTCAAATTTTTAAAAGAGTTTGTATTCTTTGCAGTGTCTCCCGTTGCTCAGAAAGTGAAAAGCTTGCGGCTGACAAAGGATGATTTCGAAGTCCTGAAAGTGATAGGTAGAGGAGCTTTTGGTGAGGTAAGTTTTTATATTTTGTGATTTCTCATTCTTTGGTAAAATGTTGAAATGCATTATTATATTTCTTATTACAAACTGGCATATTTCTAGTGTTATATTAATTTTGCTCTGTTATTACCAAAGAGATACGACTACCGACTTTTCCTCATTTTTTTAACAGCTTGATTAAAACATATTGCACCATTTTGATGTCGAAAATTAATCTAATCCAGTGTAAATGAGATATTTTTATTATAACATAGCTTAACATTTGAATGAAATTCTGCAGAAATAAATTAGTCAAAAGTTTGGTATGTCCTTCGTCTTATAAAAGGCTTTCTTTAACATGGAGCCGTATAATTTGACTATTTTCATAATAATGCTGCGAGAAAAATATTGCATAGTTATAGATGAGCATTTATAGAAACAGGTAGAAGTTGTTTTGAAGTTAATTGACACACTTTCACATCCTAATATTTGCATTAGAATAATGATTCCGTGAATTATGATGGAAATCATCACCATTGTAAATTCCTATGTGGTGTTGCATGGTGTTGTAGCATATACCACAAAGGTAAGCAGCAGTGTTCTTTGAATGATATTCCCCTTGATTTGATTTCGCGGTATGGGTTTCCCGACCTAATTGATTCAGACTTTTCATGCTTTTTTATTTTATTTTTATACTGCACATGATGTGCATACTACCAGCCGGGCTGTATCGAGAAACTTTAAACAGCACATTAAGCATGAAATTCCCCAAGGGTTAAATTTTTATATGGGTAACATCAGGCAGCAATGTTTCATGTCAATACAAAGCATACCGTGCATCTTCGAGACGCAAGGCTGTGGGTAAGCTTAATTCAGGGTTCGTACGGTCCTTAAAAGTCCTTAAGTTTTTTGGAATCGATTTTTGGTGCTTAAAAGTCCTTAATTTTGGCCAAAATCGTCAGAAGCTCCTTAATTTTAATCATCAGAAATTTTTGTCTGTTTTTATAACTGCCATTTTGAGAGTGAATTAACATTTTAGTGTAATATTTTTGGCGATTTGCTGACAAATATGGTTATATGTTAAATGGGTTCATGGATTATAATTTGTTCCTATTTCTAATATGAAATGGTGGGATACTCGAGTTTCTGAGCAGGAAGTGAAACATGAGCATTTCAAAATTATTTAATTTTTTCTAATGAAGAGCTCTTAAACAACTTTTCGCTTTTGGGGATGTGAATTCTTTTATTAAAGGCTTCCAAATTTGGCGACTTATCAAAAATTTTGGCGATTTTAATATCTGTTTCTATAGAAAATTTTTCATTCCGAGATCTAGGATATTTTCGACAGTTTTTTTTTTTAGAACATTGTAACATTCATAAATTTCATTTAAATAATGGTAATATTTTTTAATTATATTTATGAGATAAGATTAAAATAAAGCATTTTTTATTTTTTGCTGTGATATTATAAAGTTCCATTTCAGCCATTTATTATATGTGAAAAATAAGCTAGGTATAATGCTATAAAGCACCATTTACGAAACAGTTCTTAGCAAAAGCAAACTAGCTATGTAATTAATTAAAAATGTATTTTTAATATTTTCATGGTAAGGGTTTTTCCCATGTAATTGTCTCAGAATATTCAGAATTCTCAAAATATACATCAGTTTTCTCCAGAGCTTAAATTGCGCCCGAGCCCTGCTTCAGCGCAATTTAAGCTCTGGAAGAACAATGAAAATATTATACAGTACAAAGTCCGTAATCCGGACTCGTCGGGACTTCGGCGATTCCGGATTAGGGGTTTTTCTGTATTATAGATCATCATTTAAATCTCGCAAGATGGTATGCCGAAATTATACATTTAAAAATATGAAACCGTAATTTATGAAATAAAGAGCAATTATGATCTAAAGGGTATCAAAATTTACAAAAAAAAAAAAAAAAAAAAAAAAAAAAAAAAAAAAAAAGATTAATATTTGTTTGTTTACTTTATTAAACATTTCTTTCAATGTAAGTTGTTTAAGTTACTTCGTTTTTTTGTGCTAATACTTTCTCTTTAATTCTATAAACAGAAGTAATTTCTTGTTCAGGTACAAAGTTCCACTGTTCAAGTCCTGTAATTACTGTGTCGAGAATCGAGAATACCGACTAACTTGTCAATTGAAATGTTTTCGTTTTCAATAACCTCTCTGTCACTTTCTTCACTATCGGAAGCGCGCATGCGCGTATCGTAAACGCGCATGCGTAAACACATTACAGAAAATGTTTGTGGCTTTGAGGTCCGAATTATAGACCATTCCGGATAATGGACATCCAGATTATAGACTGCGCTGTAGTTGAATGTTTTACTTCTGATACTAGAATCTTTTTCTTAACATTTTAATCTTCCCTTTATTTTCTCTACTTTTCATTAGACACAAACATGGAAAACATCAAAAATGCTTGTAATCTTATCATAGGGACAGGCATTATAGAAAGGAATTCTGTTATTAATAAAGATATTGATAACTGACAATTTAAAAGATTCATCTAATATGTCTTAATGCATCACACACAGGGCTGGCACTAGGTATTTTCCCATCTGATGCAGTCTCTGTGGATCGTAAATTCTGCTGCCTGGTGCCTTTCTAAATTCTGCTTCCAATGCCTGTTCTAAATTCTAAAGGTTTTGCCATTTCTAGACTTTATTGCTCAGTGTGTCACTAAATTCTAAAAATTATGCCACATCAGCTCTCGAACAGAAGCTTACCATATATATTTCATATTTCTTCTGAATGTTCATAGTACTAAAGATATAAAATGAGCAGCTTTTTCTATACATTCTAAATGCATTTAGTTTATTTAGAATATCAGAAATCTTTTATTAAATCCAAAAAGTCTAAAATGAAGAGGAAACGTGGAAGAAGAAACTGTATACATAAAGAAAAACAAATTTATTCTTCAAAGATATGTACAGTTATTATTATGTAAATTACACAAATGTTTACAATTTCAGCCCTTACTATAATTTTCCTTTTCTATTTTCTCACCAGAATGCAAATCACTTAGACAGTTTTCAAACCGAGCTTTTTGGAGTGTTAGTTCCTGCCCACTCTGATAGTTAGTAATTATTCATTTTGGATTACCGTTGGCGACATTTGAGTTTGTTATGATGGTAGAGTTATTGAGCCAGCCTAAAATGATATTAAATTGTATAATCTTTGACCACTAATCTATATTTTTAGTTTGAATTTGACTCTTCTTGTTTCATTACATCACTACGAGCTGTAATTGATTTTGTTAGCATAAGAACATGCCTTTATTTTTTAAATAAGAATCTTATTTAAACTTTTGTCGGACATTGCAGTTACTTTCAGACATAGCGATAATTTGCTTCATATCTGTTGATGTGTTTTGGATTATTTAACCAGATTAAATAAACCTTCAGTACATTGTGGATAGGTTGACAGGTTAGGAGATAAAACACGCAGAAATTAGTGAGAATATTCTTTTGTGTATTGAGAGAAAATCCTAATTGTTAAAAAAGGTGCTTAAAGAGAAGGAAATCGATATAAATTGGCCAAAATGTCTGGGAAGGCTTCAAATTAAAAAGACGCATAAATATTTTGTTGAGTATTGTTACTACAAAACATAAATGCTTCATGTGTAATTATCCGAATATCGTTTAAGAATCAATGTCATAAATTACGTGTATTTTAAACTGTGAAACTTTATTAGATTGGGATTTTAATAGGGCTAAAAATAAATAAAATTTAATAGTGACCCTGTAAATCTTTCTGAATATTTGTAGCATTATTTTCACTGCCTGTAATTACGTACTATGGTATAGATTTTTTTCCTTCTCTTTTCTTTAACTTTCTGATTTGAACTTTTTCGTCATCAGTACCTACTCAGAATTTTTTCGTGAAGTTCCATTGCTACATACTTAGTAAGATAAAGAATGTGCATATTTCTCTTTCTGTTTGCAAAATAAAATCGAAATTAGCTATTCTTTCAGGAAAGAAAATTTATTTTTCGTGAAATCCAGCTCTTTGAGTAATATACAAAATTTAAATCACTATTGAAACAATATTTTTTTCAAATATTCCGTCAATAGCCAAATTAAGTGAATATGCTATTTAACCTTGTGTTAATTCAATTCACCGGACTCCGGAAAATTCGGTATTATCCCTTAAACTTGTAATACTTAACATCCATTGGAAACTCGATTTTCCAGCGACGGATACTGTGTGATTAAAAGCAAAGAAGTGGTAAACCTCACAAAAAAAAAAAAAAAAAAGGGGGGGGGCACGAAAATACTGCCAACATGTTAGAGAAACATCCCATTTGTATTAAAAAAATCATTAAGAATAATATAGAATGGAAAGTAAATTCGAAGAAAAAATTGCAAGGTGAAATAAAGAACCAAACACGGAAGAACAGAATTTTAAAGTTCCTACTGTTGTGGCGCCTATAAAACATGGTTGATTGTCTTGCAAAACGTGTGCATTAGATAGGAAATTTATTACGCACATTGCACATATGTCGGCTGGATATAGTCACGGACGGTGAATATTTATTTAAGTGCCCTTTATTAGCAGAAACTGACTTGTTATTGGCGAGTCAGAGAAGTGATGCAGTTCATCTACATTAGTTTTATTGTTATAATTTTCTCTTAGCTTATCTTGTTTTTTGCATTAGTTCGTTTGTATTATTTTGTTATTCGCTCCAGTTCCGTGTGTCACTCTTGTAATATATGGGCGCTAATGGTGTACAGCAAGTGCCTTTGCAGTGTGGATAAGATCTGGATTTATTTTATCGATGAGATCTAAGAGGAGAACTATTCCCCCCCCCCGAATCTCAATTAGATCGTGATCTTTGTCTCCTAACAAATAGTCTAAAAACACAGGTAGAGAGACCTTGATCTTCTTTGTTTGCTATATAGAGAGAATTATATTAGTTTCTTCTTTCGAAATTTTTTCAGTAATTTTTCGTTTCGCAAATTATGTCTTTCTTGCTCATGAAAGTTAAGCCAGATAATTTCGTTTTTGTTAACGTAATTTCATCTTCTATCAAAAACAATGCATCGTGCTCATAAAAAGAAAAGTTTCTCCTTTTAGGCTTAATTTTAATCTGTATCATGAGATTAACAGTGTTTTAACAACGTATTCTAAAAGATATAAAGTTTAATAAGCTATTAATATTTTTAAGCGATGAAAAGAGGTAAAAATAATATTTGCATACATGGTTCGAGACGGAATATAGTATTTCCATTTAGTTTTTTTTAATGGTGTCGGATGATACAGTACGTATAGTTAATAAACAGGGATTCGAAATTCAATAACTCCACTTAATACTCGAGAGATTTTAAGAACTGTATTTGGAGATTTTTTTAGGAAATGTTTTGTATTGAAGAAAAAAAAACTTGTAACCAGGAAACATATTTTAGAAATATCTTTAAAAAAATAAAATAAAAAAAATGTTTAAATTAAAAGATGACAAGAAAATTTAATTATGTCGTGAATATAAACATATAAAGACATTTATTTAATTCATCATTCAGTAACATAAAATTAATACAAGTCTAAACAAGAACTTTTATTTTTGACGTTTAGTGTTACTAATTCACGTAACATCCGTGGTATTGTGCGCAAATATTCTATTCATCTTACGGGCACGAGAACATAAACTTAAAGTATCAATAAATAAACAGCCATTTGCAGGTGCATATCCTCATCATTGTGATTTTCTTTCTGTAGCTTATTTTATTGAGAAAACAATACAAGATGCAAATAATAGTATATACACACTGCGCCAAAAAGGGACAGTTCTAGTATATCTCCTGTTCTACTGGGCCGATTGACGAAATTCAAATTGCGTTTTTCATATCTCGAAAGCGCGACTTAGTTTATGTATTAGATTTATATATAGCGTTGTTCTAATATAGGTATTTCGATGCAAAATCGGACTTTTTCTGAAATGACATGCCAATTTCTTTTCATATTTCGATTCTACGATTCAAATTATGCCAAACTTCCAAGTTTTGTAAAAATCGCACGAGTAGTTTTTAAAAAATTAGCTCTCAAAATTTTAGCTCCACAATGTTAATTGAATTTGATATATATTTATTAATATCTCTTTTTTTATTAAACTTACTTGATTCCTTCTTCCAGAGTTCGAAATTTAGGCTTTATCCAAGTATAATCCGCACATTTTTTATGATTTCTTTTTAAAATATTTTTTATAATTTTTTTTAAAAACGTTTTGTATTATAACCTATAAAATTTTTAACATCATCTTAAAGTAGATTCATTTCTAGGCACACCTGCAAAATATTAGAGTTTTTTTATTCCAAATTTTCTAAGATATGTATGAATTTACATATTGGAGCGTTTTGAAATTTGGCATTTTTTATTCGAGCTATAATAACGCCAAACGATAATCCGCATTTTGTTAAAATTATTTGAAGGTATGGACGATGACATTTTTCCGTTCGTCTACAATGAAAAAAAGAAAAGTAAAATAGGTTGCTGTAAATTAAGAAATTCGCCAAGATAAAGTTTTGAATTTCTCCGTAAATTTCGCACCAAATTTTACGAAATTTAATATTTAGGCATTGCAGAATCCAAATATGGAAAAAAATTGGCATGTCATATCAGAAAAAGTCCGATTTTGTGTCAAAATACCTATGTTAGAACGATGCTATATATAAATCTAATATATGTCCTAAGTCGCGCTTTCGACACATGAAAAACGCAATTTGAATTTCGTCAATTGGCCCAATAGAACAGGAGATACAGAACTGTCCCCCTTTTTTTTTTGCGCAGTGTACATGTCATAATTTTATAGAGATGACTTGAGGATTTGAATATAGCGTAGACGCACAAGATGGCATATAACGGAGACAGACATGGTCAAAAACATCTTAAATTTATTCTTGATAAATTATTCTTGATAATTTATTCTTAATTTATTCTTGCATAAACGTGTTCACATAGCATTCTGTGTGATAAGCACCCTTGATACCTCTATAAAACGAATCACATCATTAGAGAATGGCTGAAGCAGAGAAATGAGGAACACTCATTTGCATGGCGAGAGGAAGACAAGTGACGGAGAACGGAGGCTCCTGGTGACAATCAAAAGTTAGCTGGAATTGTCTCCACCCTCTTATCAGGAGTTTATTACAACAAAAATAATTCTGACATGACCAGACAAAAGCAAGAGTATATAAATGATACATTGCAATATGATTATCTTTTCCTAGTACATAATGAAGGGTTTGTCCATTGAGAAGTTAAACGTATTTTCTAACTAAACATACAATTTTAGAGCATAATGTATAAAATAATACTAATTAAAATAAAATTAATATTAAAATTAAACTAAAAATAAGCATACACAAATTATAAATTTACACACTTTAAAAATTAATTTAAGTGCTAAGACTCAATACAAATCCATTTAAAGTTTTCAGTGCAAACGGGCATTTCGCATATACGTTTATAAGTAACATTATATCTAAATATTTAAAATTATGTTTAATTTGCACTTCCTATAATTATTATAACATAAGGTAAAATCTTAATTATTATGTTTAATAGTTAAATGTCTGTGTCAGTTCTTAGAATTTGATTTAAAGTTCTTTGGACAGTTTTTTAGCACTTATTCTATTGTAACTTATTCTATTTCTGAAGTTTATTGGCGTCTTCATTCTGCGTGACGAATATCTTGGCTCATAGCTGAAATAGAGTTGATTGTATTGCACGTGTGTCTAACTTAGCACGGTTTTTGTTTATGAATTTCTTAAAAGAGGTTCGAGGTCGGTTGAGGTAAATGAGTGGACTGTAAAAGGCATAATGGTCAGGTGAGTCTTCTAATCACTAGACGCATGTACTTGTATTTAAAATGCAAAAGCAATCAAAACAGTTTGAAAAAGGGTCATGCTCCATAATAAAATCAGTTAGTTGTGAGATAGTTATGAGTCTGTTTGTGCTGACTTTAGGAATGAAAGTATATGAGCACCTACGTACGTATTATGCCGTTGACTGGTCATGTAGCACGATTTAGTGACACTTATGCAGGATCATCTTTTTTAAAACTCCACATTAATGATTTGCGATTGGTCACCGTAGTCGAAATTTCCGCTAACTGTCGACAGGATAATAAATAAGTACCAAAATAATTAGAAAAGCTTACATTTCTTGAAAATCTTTGTTTGAATATAATAACGTAAACTTTATAGTCCTTGTCTTGAAGTCTTTTGTAAAAATTTTAGCACAGTTAAAAGTTTTTAATCCGGACGTCCATAATCCGGACCTCAAAGCTACAAACTTTCTGCACATGCGTAAACGCATGCTCATAATAACTTTACGCATGCGCATATGCATAATACGTTTACGCATGCGCGTTTAATGTATGACGGACATTATAAGCTAAGCTAAAATTATCTAATTATCTATTTCAGTTAATGTTGCAGATTGTGCTGTTCCTTAATCTTCGAATTGGATCCGGCTTATTATGTTTTGCAGACTGTTAGAGCAATTTTATAAAAGTAAGCTTGAACTTTCGATTATGTCAAAAAGAATTTCTGATTCTGGAGCTGCCAAAGGATCCACAAAGCGAAAGCATGTTTCGATGTCCATCAAACAAAAAGTGGAATTGCTGCAAAAAATGTTTAAAGGCATGAAGAAAGTGACAGAGAGGTTAGTGAAAACGAAAAAATTTCGATTGACAAGTTAGTCGGTATTCTCGAAACAGCAATTACAGGACTTGAACAGTGGAATTTTGTAACTGAACAAGAAATTATGTCTGCTTATAGAATTAAAGGCAAAGTATTAGCACATAAAACGAAGCAACTTAAACAACTTACATTGAAAGAAATGTTTAATAAAGTAAACAAATAAATATTAAGCTTTTTTTTTTTTTTTTTTTTTTTTTTTTTTTTTGTGAATTAATACTAGTAATTCACCAATGGTTAAAGGAGTGCTAGGCATAAAGGCCTCCGAGGAACAAAACCAAGAGTGAAAGATTGTTGATGACACATATGGGGCATGCATGTTAACCCTTAGAATATCAAGGCCTTATCTCACCTGTTTCTTAAAAAACCTAAACGTCTTAAATTCCATTTTTAGATTCATAATAATTTGATCTCATATCCCTGTTCATCAATGGACAAAGTGGTTTCAGATGATGTTGTTTCTTATCAAAGGAGCTTCCTTCTGAGTCTGTACTAAGTCACCTTTAAAAATAGAGAACCACAAAAGAATCCTTTTAGGACAAGGCTTTCTACAATAAAGGTAAACCAATGCACTGTATTATTGGGGAAACTGCGACTTAGGTTATTGTGTACGTTAGGGAGGGGGTAAACAGATGAGGTCCATCTAATGGATGAGAGTTCTGACAGTGTGATGACAGTTTGTATAATGAATAAATGTTGATTTCAATACATTTATGCAATATTTTTCTCTCATTAAATTCTAATCCAGCAGGCTAATAAAAACCAGTCCATCAATCTTTTTTCAATTTTCGGATCTCATAATCAAGGTTCATCTTATACTTGGGGGCGTTTTATACAGGGGAAGATATGGTAATTGATTATGAAGAAGCACATAAATACCGTCTGTCTAAGAAGAGAGACCTTTGTCGCGAAATTTGTGTAGCTTATTGTACTAGAAACGAGAATTTTACTAGTTCAGCTTAAGTTACATAAATTCAATAATATTATATTTCATTGAAAATTTGTTGTGTCAGTTGAACTAATTTTAGTTTTAATTTCATTGCTAGGTTGCAGTTGTCAAACAAAGAACAAATGAAAAAGTATATGCAATGAAAATCTTAAATAAATGGGAGATGTTAAAAAGAGCGGAGGTAAGTTCATTCTGTCAGTTCTCAAAACTGGTATTGTTTTTATTGATATATTTTTCCTGTATAATTATATCTATTTTCATTTCCATAGACAGCATGTTTCCAAGAAGAAAGGGAGGTATTAGTCTATGGTGATAAAAGGTGGATCACAAACCTTCATTTTTCATTTCAAGACGATGTAAATTTGGTTAGTACCTTTTAAATGTTTTATTATTCTTTTTCCTACTTCTACTCTCTTTCCTGTTGTCTCACTTCATTGCATTGGGGCATATTTTAGCATTCAGAGAGCTTTTTGCTAAAATTTCAATAAGGAGAAAACTTTGGAAGAAATGAGGAAGTCTGTAGAAGGCATATTTTGCTTATATATAGGGTATCGCAACAAAGATTGTAAATTACCTAAGATGCTCTTACCTTTGATAAATTCATGTGCATCAACATGAGGCTGGAAGTATTTGGCATTACTTATAAAGACAGTATAATCTTAAACTAAATGAACTTATACTTTCAAATATTTTTATTTATTCTACACTGGGGCCAAAATATTAGGGACACCTCCTAATCTCCTAATAATGCATTAGCTCACCTTCAGCTTTTTATCAGAGCTTGATATTGCTTGAGGAATTCATCAGAGGACTGAACTGGCTATGGGAGCAATTTGGACTTCTTTTCTTGCTGACAGTTACTATCTGCATCAGAAAACATCACACAACAAGTAATCAGCAATAAAATAATACTGAAGACATGCTAAAGGATCCATCCATTATACCTTAATTCGATGGATTGCAACTTTGAGAACTGTCGTTAGGCTTGATGGGTCCAACAATTAATTCCGTTTTTGTCATATTCTGAACATATCATTGCATGTGGGAGAGGGAAAGGAGATTCCATCGGATCAAGCATCTTTTTTTTCCATTCCTCAGTTGTTCAGTTTTTGGTGCTTCTGCACTCATGGTAATTTTGATATCCTGTTTATGAATGTTAGTGGGGGCATTCTTGATAGTCTCATGCTATTAAAAACTTTCATTTGCAAAGTCCATATGTTGTCTGTTTGGATATATTTTGTAGTGAACTTGAATCGTATTGAGCTGCAGTCTATCATGTTATTGCTTTTCTGCAGTGGGCGGCTTGTGTGAGCCACTTTTAATCTCTTTTTCCCATCAGCATTTTTTTTTCCAATATTGGGATTGTTAACCAGATTTGACAGATTTTTATCAATGAGAAATGCTTCAAAGAAATTTAAATCGCCAGCGGTAGATGTTTTTTGAATAATTTTATCAGCAGCAAAATGGGAAATGGTATTTTTTGATCAGCAATGTTGGGCATACAGGACTTATGCATTTCATTTTTCGTAATATAAATCTCATGGCCCTTAGCACAAACTTTTAAGGCTGTAGTAGTTTGTCTAATATGTATTAAACCAAAGGCCACATTTTCCCACTGCTTGAAATAATTATCAGTGCCCAAAAATTTGATGCTACAGAAAATTCTTAAGACTAAGTAATGACTGAAAATTTTGGAAATTTTTCTTAAACATAATGCTGTAAACATAACTCATCATGTTATTTTGATTTTTATATATATATATATATATACTATAATCTATTTTAACTATTTGCATATTATTGTAATTCCTCGCGTATTTTCCCTTCCATTTTAACCGACGCATTCTGAAAATTAAAAAATAAATAAATAAATAAATTGCATCATTTTCTCCTTCCTCAGTGCGTTCAGAGAATGAGCTCCCTGAAATTTTAAGATGGATTCATCTACATAGTGACTGCTTTTGTCTTGCTAGCAAACACACATCTTTGCAAAGTTCATGCCGAACATTTTCCTTTCAATCCTCAAACTTTATGCCAGCCTAGTACAAGAGCCGACAAATATCATGGCAAAGCAAACATGAACTGACATTCAGTGTATGATTTCGCTTTTTTTAGCTAAGCTTTCAATTAAAAAATTCCAGTTAGACAATTGTTTCATAGTTTTTCTTTTAAAAAGGGGAAAAAGGTCCATAATGTAATAAATCATACCTGAAAAAACATTGTCACGGTTGTTTGCCTTTAATTACTTTCATGAAAAGATAATAATGAAGTCATATAAAACTGAATTTTATTAAATGCAAATTTTAATATTTTAAATGATAATTTAAAACCAGCATTTTTGAGTTAACAGTATTCTAATCAGATCCGGGCTTACTTTCAGCACCCTCCTCCAAAAGTGAAAAATATAGAAATCATGGTAGAATGTTCCTCAAAAGATGGTTTATGATGTTCTAAAAAATTTTGATTATTCAGTGCATTGCCTATCTACATTCGCTGCCCTGGATGCTCAGTTTACACCAAGTTCTTTAAAGCTGTTACTGTTTCCAATGTAACAAATTTGGATTCACTAACTTAGCTATTTTTAACAATATTTATATAGCCTCTAAAGATTTTCATAAATTAAATCTCAAATAATATGTATCTCATTGCCCCATCAGATTGAAATAGTTCTTTTTTTTTATTTCACAGATTTGGCTATGGAAAATACCTTTCTAAACAACAATCTTTTCCCTGTCATATGAAGATTAAAAACATTATATGTCATTAAAAGGTATTATGTGACCTAAACTGCCCTTATCTAGAGTCATTTGATTCATTTCTTGAACAGGAACTATGGTTCTTCAACCAACCACTCATGTAATATTTAGCTGAGTAGTCTTTTTGAAACATTGTATGTATTGGGTACTATGATTTCTACATCTCACAATATCCTAATAAATTTAGCTCAATGTTCTTTGAGGAATGATTGTAAATATGACTTTTTTAATAATTGTAACTTTTGCTTTTTTATCCCTTTTCTAACTGCAGTATTTAGTTATGGACTATTATTGTGGAGGTGATCTGTTAACATTGCTGAGCAAATTTGAAGATAGGCTTCCAGAAGACATGGCCAGGTTTTACATTTGTGAAATGGTGCTAGCCATCGATTCAATTCATCGACTTCATTATGTTCATCGTGATATCAAGCCCGACAATGTACTTCTAGATGCAAATGGTCATATAAAATTGGCAGATTTTGGGTCTTGCTTAAGGCTGCTGGAAGATGGGATGGTGAGTTTAAAAAGTTTATTTCAAATTTGAATGTATGTACATCAGAGTTTTTTTTTTTTTTTTTGCTCTAGAAACTAAAAATGAGGCATTGAATTAGCCTGCATTAAAGTTAATTAGATTATTTTTAAAAATCTGTTGTTTATACAATGGAAAGTAAAGGTTGCCAAAAGAAATAAATGAAATCTTCACTCAGAAGGACATTATTGAAAAGTAACTTTGTTGTTTCTATTGTAATCCTATAATTACATTTATTTTAACTGCAGTGCATTCATTTTAGAGTAGACTTTCTCAGATTTCTAAATAGTCTTTCAAGACCACTGGTCTTAAGAACTTCCCCAAATATGATTTTCTAAGGTAGGTTTAAAAAAATATTTGATTATCTATAAATTTCTGAGGATGCTGATTTTATTATAGTACATTCATTTTAAAGAAATGATTCTGGAATTTTAAGACTGCCATTATGCTATATTTTTAAGCCTCAGAAACTCCTAAAAACTCATTTTTCTCAGAGAAGTTAAAAAAAAAGAAAGTAATATTTGTGATGATTTGTAACTTTCTGAGGCACTTATTTTACTACTGTGTAATTGTTTTTGAGGAGTGATTCTAGAATTTCTTGATCATAAGTCCAAAAAACTCTCCAAAGTTTAATTTTGTTTGGGAACTTTCTAAAAATAATTGTAATTATCTAACTGCTTTTGAAGGCAAGGCAAGTTTATTGAGAAAGCATAAATTTGTACACCTTGCAGTTCACGATAAAGAAAAGATTTAATATAAAAATTACATTGTTTTATAAATGTATGGATGTTTTTGAAACTTTTTTAGCACAATAATGTACTCAGTTTTATAAAATTAAGCATAATAATATAATCAGTTTTATTGTTCTTTTTAGTAAAAAATTATGCGAGACAATAAGCGAATTATATTAGATCTATGTAGCAGAATATTTGGGAAAATAAATATATAATATTAAATCTTAAGATCAATTGACAGATCTGATTGTGATTGCACTTATGTTTCTGAATTCATATTACAAATTAACAGTTGTTCATTTATTTTCTTAAATATTTCTAAAATTTTAGGTGCAGTCTAATGTTGCTGTGGGAACTCCAGATTATATATCTCCTGAAATCTTACGAGTGAGTTCTTCATTTCAGTGCATTAACTTATCTTTAAGTGCTATGCCAGATCTATCCTATTGTTGCTTCACTAATTCTGTATGCTGACTCTGTTTACTACATTAATGTTATTTTCTCCTTTTTCCTTGTACTCATAAATTTACTTTACTTGCATGCTTTATTTTTCTATTTAATATATAACCTGCTTTAAAGGGCATATTCTCTAAACTTTACTCAGATGGCCAAATTCATTCACCTTCTGCATGAAAAATAACACTTTATGAAAAAACTGCTTCGGTGTTGCTTCATTACTGTTGCCATTTCCTCCTGCTAAATTGTTTCTATATTCCTTTCACCAATACTTACCTTTGTGGGTAATAATTGTGTCACCATGTTATCTGATTATTTGACTTATGTTATTTTAATACTGTGACAATCATTACTTAAAGAAAAAATTTTAATACCCTGTATGTTAAATGTTAGAAGAAGGAAAGTCATTTAATGGACATTAATTTTCAAATAATATGTTTTGTTTAAAGTTTGTTGACCGAAATGTGATAAAAATGATTTTATTCAGTGCATTTAAATGCTTCTCTGTAGTTGCACTTTATTTTCTTCTGTACAGCTCAATCATTTCAGTGCTTAAACTAAATCTGATGGTTTGATGTGTACTAAGCATTCAGATGTTTTCCATTTTGTAATAAAAGATATATATATATATATAATAAGAGGAATGTTAAAAAATACATTTGATACTATAGTTCCTTAGCAAAAACGTAAAACCATGACACAATTAGAAACAATATTAAAGTAGTAAAAGCAAGAGTTTTTTTAAATTCTTTGTACATTTAAATTTCTGTATTTCTTATCACCCTTTTTTGATTTTGAAGTCATCTCTGTTGGTAATTTTTTACGAGATAGCTTTTACTTCTTTAATATCATTTCTAATTGTGTCATGATTTTACATTTTTGCTAAGGAACTATAGTGTCCTTTAGATGCCTTTAGTTTTTACCTTTAGTTTAGTTTTTTTATAGATACTTTTAGTTTTTACAAGATAGCTTTTACTACTTTAATATCGTTTCTAATTGTGTCGTGATTTTACATTTTTGCTAAGGAATAGTGCCAAATGTATTTTTTAGCATTAGCTTTTAAACTTTCCTCTTACTTATTAAATTAAAACATTTTTGAAGCTCAATGCACAAAATTCTTGACCACTGAGGTCTCTCTAATTCAAGTTGTCTTGCTACTTATATATATATATATATATACAGGATGAATCTGAACTAGTGGCAAAATTTTAGAAGGCAGCTATATGAGCAATATTCGTCATAGCATGTGTGGTTAGAATGCAAGTAGTGAGAAGTTAAAGGGTAGATTTCCACTGTCACTTCAGAAAACATTTTATTAACAGGAATGTAATTGATGTACATGTTCAAAGAAATTGCTCAAAAGAACTTCTACCACTTGCTATGCAGGCTTCACACCTGCACGCTAGGGACTGTCACACATTTGAAAAGACACCAGGCATTTCCCGAGTATTGATCCATATTTGTTTCAGTAAAGGGCATTTGTAGATTAAGCTTTTCATATGGCCCCACAGGAAAAAGTCCAAACACGAGAGATCCAGTGATTTTGGTGGCCAAGCTATGGGATCACTTCAACCAATTCATCACCCTCGAAATTTTGTGGTTCGTATAACCAGCAATCGTCTCACCAATCCACGGTCGAAAATGCTGTTGGGTACTAGGACCGACCCTTTTTATATCATTTACAATGCCACCTAGTGACTCTGCATTTGTGTTCTGACCATACATTCTATGACGAATATTGTTCATATAGCTGCCTTCTATCACCCTCTAAAGTTTTGCCCACTTTTTTAGATTCGCCCTGTATTTTATTGTTTCATAACAAGAGCTCAGCTTCATAATGAGCTTATTCTCATAGCATTTAACATGAGTTCACAAAATGCTTGTAAGAGTAATCATTCATATTGTTCCCATTGATATAAAAGTTTTAATTACTAAAAATGAAAAGTTTTATTTTAATGTAGTTTTCATTAAAAGCTGTTATAGGCTTTAAATAAAGCACCACTCCGTTGCCTAAATATAACTGAATTATATATAATATATATATATATATATAAAGACATTGTATTTATTGGATTAAACTAAATTAAAAATGCCAAATAAATGTTTCATATGTTTTAAAATATTTTCCCTTATAATGACATAGTATAAATAAGGAACAAATACTGCATATGTTTTGCCATTTTAAAAGAGTGTGCATATTGTTTTTGGAATCCTTTTATCTCGTAAGCATTGAACTGTTTTAAAAATGTGTGCTCATATTTTTTGTATTTACTTGTAATAATCTATCTCTTAGAAGCTTTCTTTCATCTCATATTAAATGCTACTACTTGTAAATATTTCCTGATAATGAAATTAAAACTGAATTATCTTTAATAAAAATTATTATCTACTTTTAAGAATTTGCAAATTATAAAAGGCAGTTGACAAAAATGGAGAAATCAGTTGCATTGAAATTTATATTTACCTTCCACATTTTCAGCATGTATCATTTAATAATGTGTCTTAGCATTTTTCAAAATATACTACATAAAAATGTTAAACTACTTCTGTTTTAAAATTTCCAAATGCCTTTTAACATTAATTTCTATTTTGAATAAATTCTATTCTGACATAAAAATTATGCTGATCTCTAGATCTGCAATTTGACTAATAATAATAGATAAATAACAGGCAAGCAGACCTGTATGAATCAATGATCCAGTTTTAAATGATAAAAAATAAATGTCATTTACATATTATTTGCTCATATAATTATTTTAAAAAGCACGTAATATATTTCACTTAGAAGCATACTGAACCATCCATAGATCAATGTCATTTCTATCAGAAACACTTCAGTAATTTTTTGTCAGTTATTAAATTATTTCAATAATATTTTTATATAATGTATAACATTTCTACTGATACAAAGAATTCTACATGTCAGTAGCATGATGCTGTAATAAATAATGATTAGATTGTTCAAGTTGTACACATATGTAATGTTACATCACCATTTTGGTCCTCAAATAATTGTTTGGTGATAACTATGTTCTTCAGTAACCAGTATGAATCACATGAATAGAAAGTATTTGTTATGATTGATTTTGTCATCCTTTGGTTAAAGAATCTGAGTTCTCCAATTGAAAAAGAGGAGTTCCCTTAAAATTATCCATAGTTTTCAATTTAATATTTTAATCTATTTATTTCCAGATACCATAATAGTCATTATGATTAAAGGCGTTAAATTATTTTACATTTGAAAATTTTTATTTGTTAAGTTTTAATTCAACTATCTTCAGCATTTTTAAATTGTCAGAATAAGGTGATGAATACAGGATTTACTTCAAAATAAATGTACAAATAACAGGATTTACTTCAAAATAAATGCCAGGAAATACTTTCAGATTATATGTTGTTATTGTTATTACAAATGGCTAGAGAATTGTAACTTAATGCATTTGTCGGGAAAGTCCAATACACATCAGTCATTTAACCTTCTTAATCACTGAGAACATGGTTCGGGTGCACCCATAGAGATGATCAAATTACACCCATGCAAAAAAGGAAGTCCACCCCAATTTTGATGGAGAACACCTCAGGGAATGGATTCAAAAGTATTCCATACCCTGTCACGAAACCTCATGAAAACATATTTTGGCTTACTAGTATTTTAATTATCCTTTTGCTGCATAGTCACAAACATACAAGCTTCTTCCTCTAGGATACAAGTGTGGACACAATGAAACAGTAGCCAGCATTGCTAACATTGCTAACTGCTGAGTAGTCAGGATGGTTATATCAAATGTAAATTTTAAAGCAAGGGTATAAATACCATAGTTTTACAAATTATAATCTAACACAGAGCAGACCAGTTTTAAAAATTTATTTTTAGTAAAAGTATTTTATTTTTAGTTGTCTCGACTGCAAAAAAACATACATCTTCAGAATGAACATGATCTTTATTAGCATAAATTTTGCTAATTTTATGTCATTATACAAATATATATAATATATTTATGTCATAGTATAAATAATTTCACTAATTATCTAAATGGAATTCATATGGGAATGTGTCAAAAAATAGCAATTCATAGGTATTTAGTCACTGATAAATAAGCATAGATATTTTCCTGTATTCATGATATAAGCTTGTCTACAGTATATTTTGTAGGGCAGATTTTGCAAATTTATAGCAAACTGAGATTTACAGATGAAATTGCTATTTAATTTTCTATAAACTTCCATTTTTTGCTATTAATATGACAAATAAATTATTATGTTTTTGCTTGTATCATTCTGTACAATTTTATCTTTTTCATGCATTCTTCACAAAATTGATAAAATATTTATACTTCTTATAAAAAAGAAAGTAAAAAAATGGTCATTCTTTTTAGAATATTTTAGCATAATTGCAATTCATCAAAATCTAGCATCGTTTTGGATAATTTCATTCAGCAATTCACATGACCTCAAACTTTTGTTTCTTTATTAAATTTTAAAGCTTGATCTTGTATTATACAAGTTCCTTTAAGTTTCTGTCATTAGACCTTATGATCCACAGAAATTTATTATTTGAATCTCACGATTGTCAGAGGTTTACTTAATATTTACTACATTTTATAAATGCTTAACATTTAAAAAACTGTTCATATAACTGTTAACAGAACAGGCCTTCCTGGGTTGGATTTAGATGTTATTGTGCACTCATACATATTTTTCCCTTTCCTTCTTTGACAGTTTTGATTTAGCTACCTCAGTTTGTGTTTACATTTTATGGTAAAACTGACAATGGAAAATATTTGTGGTGCCTCATTTCCTTGAGTCCATAAGCACTTTTTTGTAGTGCTCCCTTTTATGCCCTAAATAGCTTTTATAGTGCCTTCTTTCCATGAGCTTCTAAGCATCTTTTCCTTTTCCTTGATGCCCTAAGCACATCTCATTTTGCTTAATGCTATTTCACCTTCCAAAACATCTTTTTGAATTTTGCATTTGACTTGTGTGTTATAGAGCATTTTCGATAGAAAACGCATATATGACTTAAATTTTTGCCAAAAATGATTTCAAACAATTTCACTTATTTTGAAAAATTATTACTTTCAAATTGATAATCAAAATTTCTAATTTCCAAAAATTTATTTACAGTGATATTTAGCAATTATGAGATTCTGTTATGTGTTGTTACATGCAATTTTATTATTGTGTTTGAAACATCAGAAAATTCCATGATATTTGAGAAATTACAAGTTTTTGAACATTCTTTTGAATGTCCTAAATTCAGTGCATTTACATTTTATCATCCTGGGGGGGGGAGGTAATTCAAGTGTTGTATTTCACTTTTTTGGAAGTTGATAAAATATTGATTTTGATATCTGCTTACTTAAGAATATGCCTTTCATGTATCAGCTGTTAACATAATTCTTTCAACGTAATATTCTAATCTTCAATACATGAAAATTGTCATTGAATAGCTTCAGTTTTTCTAACAACATTTAATTAACATATTTATTTTATATTTTTATAGACATATTTAGTATGTCTTGTACTAATATTTCTTCTCCAATTAAATAGCTTAATTTTCATATAATTCTTAATAATATATTTTGATAATTTGCTAATTTTCAAATTACAGATTACTAAAATTTACTCACTAATATTCATTACTCATTGGCAGTTTGCATTTATATGCCATCAACTTACTTTTATATTCAAGTTCTATAAGTTGATGAATAAAGTGATAACATTTGTCTACTATTAGATTTATTTCAAGCACATATTTAAAGGTGATCTGAATGTATTTCTAGATATTTTTAAGAAACCTGGAGAAAACTAAGATTTAATTAATGAATTGTCCTGACAAAAGTAACTCTCTAACTAATTATCAAAGATGTTAAAATCATTTAACTTTGTGAAGTGTAGCTTTATGTATGCTTGTAGATCATTAAATCTACAAAAATGTACACTGACAAAGGTAACTGAAATGTATGTTCACTTTAAATATGTAAGTTACAGTGAGAATCTAATATTATTAGCTTCCAAACTTTTTTGCCTCCAAGAATAATTATGAAAGCCCCATTAATCTTTCCCAGGACCTGATTACTGCCTAGGACCACAAGCATTGGGCACAGGGTCTGAAAGCATAAGAGCTCTCAAATTATTCTGTAATTCTTCCTAACCATATTTTTCACCTATGGAAACAAGAAAATTGACTACTGGGTATTTCTAAAAGCACTCTGTGGCTAGGCTCCAAATTAACAGAAATGAGCTGTAGTGTTTGCCTATAACATAAAATTTGCATACCCTAATCAGAGAAATTGGATTTTTTCCATCGTTCTCAGATACCGTCTATAAACATCAGCAACTAATCAAGCATTATCAGACAATCTTGAGACATCAGCTAATCTCTCTGGAATTCAATTATTTAATATTTCATTTGAATTCTAGACACTTAAAGTTTCTTAACCATTTGTTGTTACTTAGCAGTAATAAAAAAAAACTTCATTCAGTATAACAGTCATTCATAACATGGCCATAAATCTGCAGTTTAGAGGAGAATGCCCTTTAAAGAAGGTTCTTGATGTCTAATATATGTCATTAACTTATAAAATTTTTTGTTTGCTGGTATCTTTTACATCAAGGCTCATCAATACTCCCTGCAGGCAATGGAAGATGGAAAAGGGAGGTATGGAGCAGAATGTGACTGGTGGTCATTAGGAGTATGTATGTATGAGATGCTTTATGGTGAAACTCCTTTTTATGCAGAATCATTAGTAGAGACATATGGTAAAATTATGAATCATAAGGTATGCTTATTTCATTTTCTGTATTTTGATATAGCTTTCATCTCTTGCAACTAGTGTTATATTTTACATACAATTAAGTTTGAAATGTCTATGAGGATTGGCTGCCATAAATAAAAATAATATGGTTTATTTTTGAATTATTGATAGTTTAATGCTTTGCTAAACAAATAAACATGTATGAAAACTTAAGTGTATTAGAATTAAACTAAATATAGAATGAATTTGATGATTTATTAGTTATGAATGCTACAAATGCTTACCTTTGCTCATGATATATCTTTTCATTTTATATTTACTTCATTGCTCTTTAGAATGTCTCTGCTTTTATTATTTAATATATCTATACATTATTAAAATAAACTCTAAATTTTAAAATAAAGGCTATACTAAAGTCAGCCACTGATGTGTATAAATAGCATATAAAATTTGTATTCTGTTCATGAGAATATGTCAATAGATATCTCTCAGAGAGTTAGTATTTGTTGGAAGAAAGTTTTGAAATTATTATCTGTAGATATCTGTCTAAAACACTAAATAGCAATTTGCAAGTAAAAAGATACAGCAAATTTGTGCAATGGTTTAATGCTACTTTATACTATATATATAATTTTTTAATAGCTGCACTAAGTTTAATCTCTGATTGCTGCATTTTTTATCTCTTTACTGAATGTTAGAAATACATACAATAACAATGTAGAAATTTTTTTCATGTTATGCTGCTATAGCATTCATTAACCTTATAGACTAATGAATTAACAATGCTAAAAGCTGCTGCCGATTTACAGGAGATTTTTATCATTAAAATAATAATGATATATTCAGAGTTTAATTTCGAAAATTAGAAGTCTGAAGCTCTATAGAAAGTTGTCAGGAAAAGTAAATAAAAATAAATAAATAAATAAAGTTATAAAAAATGAATAATTAAAATTAAATAAAGAGATGAAAGTTAATAAATTGATGGCAAATAATAAAATAGTAATTAAAATTACTGGAACTCACCATTTGTGGGGTGCTGACTTGAATTAAGATTTTACTCAAAAATTGAAAAGTGGGCTGTAGTTGGCCCTGGCTGAATTTAAACCTTGTACACATTGTATATTAGTATAATAAGACTGAGAGATTGTAATATATGTACTTTAAATTTGTATCTTAATTTTGTTTTTAGCAATCAATTTATTTTACATAATTTATAATATATTGAACTAACAGTTTTCTAATATATATCTTTATTTAAATTAATAAAAGACATATCTATCACCATATATTTTAAATTTGATTTTTGAAGAATTAACAAATCATCTAGCAACAGAAATACTACATTTTGGTAAAATTTTTATTATGTTACAATATTTATTTGCTATGTCTTTTGTCTCATGTATCATGATAATATCATACATAAAAACATTTATTTAAATGAAGATACGAAAATCATGTTATGACATGTGAAACAGTTAGATTTTATTATTACAGAATTGCTTTGACTTCCCAGACGATCCTACTTATCAAATATCTGAAGAAGCCAAAGATCTCATGAGGAGGTTAATCTGTAGTCCTGAAGTTCGTTTGGGCCAGAATGGTTTAGAAGACTTCAAAAATCATCCATGGTTTATTGGTGTCAATTGGGCGTCTATTAGAGAAAGTATGTATCAATTTAATCAATTTAGTTATACAAATTGAAAAGCACAAGATATTTTGATGCCTTTTTTGTAAATAAAATTACTTATGTTGGAATATTTTACTTAATATTCTAATGTACAAAATTTTATTTGTCCTGTGTATGTTCAATTAACCCTTGATTTATGGATATTAAGTCATAAAAATGCTTAATTACTAAGTATGAACTTAAAGATAGACTAATAAGTGAACATAATAAACTGGAATTAATAGAAATTATACCATAAAATCACTTTAAATGTAGATTCTTACTTTTCTCAATACGTTTGGTATTTGAATTTTATATTTTGAATCTAATAACACAGAATATAAATATCAACCAAATTCAAAACACAGAATTCAAATATCAACCAAAGGTATCAGAAAGTAGACAGAGTAATTTTTGAGTGTGAAATTAAAACCCATCTGCCAAAATGATTCTCTAGGTGAATAGCATATAAAGAAAAATATTTTAAATATGTTTCAACAAACATTTCAGTTTATAACTCTCAAAATAGAAAATTGATTTTCATGAGTTATGTTTAGAAATAGTTTCATCAAATATTTCTGCATTCTAATTAATATTAGTTTCTATCAAAAATTTTAAGATCAGCTTTATGTGTTTGAAATAACTTAATGAAAAAGAAAAAGGTTTCAGCGAATGTCTAATGTTTTTAACAGGTCCATATTAAATTATAAGATTTTTGACATTTTCTTCTTTCATATTAGACCACTGAATTTTTTACTTAACAATGATTATGAATGTTTATCACAAAGGATAAGGGATAAAGTAATATTGCTAATTTAATTTTAATATTTTTAGTAATTTATATCATTTTTAACATTCTTTCATATTCATTCTATTGCAGCTGAAGCACCATATATTCCAGAAGTTAGTAGTCCAAGTGATACTTCAAATTTTGATGTTGATGAAACAGATTTAAAAGGATCTGTAAGTTCTAATGCTTCACACTCTACTTTTGATACTATTAGTTTTGTACTTCATAACTGATTCATTTATAATTCATTATATTGCTGCAATTGTGTCTGATTTTCTTTTTTCTTAGGATTCAGTGCCACCCAGCTCAAATCCTGTTTTTTCAGGCCTTCATTTGCCATTTGTAGGATTTACCTTTACATCTAAAAGGTAATTTCTTTCCTTAGCCATTTAAATAAATTATTTTAGTAAATATATTATTCATTATCTGTCAAATAACTACACATTTAAAAATATTTCGTCTAAAAACTTTTATATTTTGTTTTACATGTGATTGAAATCTAAAATCTTACTTAATTGGGTCAAAACTATCTTGAAAAACTTGTTTTTTAGATAAAACATAGTTATCCAAAATCTTTCCCTTAAAAATTGCCAAAAGCTCATCTCTGTACATACTATTTTTTATCATAATATCATTTTGAATGCATTTTACATAAATTAAAATTCAAATATCCCTTTTCGTATCAAACTTTTTGCATCCATTTAAATAAAGGAACTGATATGGTTATTTCATTTAAAAATATATTAATTTCTAACTTTTGTTATGTTTATCACTTTCAAAGTGTTAAATCAGTGTTTCATGAATGATTAGAAAATCCCATGATATAAATTAACATTTAAAGTGCATGAGCATTTGCGATGAAATGTAGCTTATAAAAAATTTTTAATTAAAATATATTCTTCCATAAATTACTTTATCAGTCTAATAAAGCCTTCTTTCACATTGAGGCAATGAATATCTCTAATGATTCACTTATAAGAATTGCAGAAATTCATTTGATATGTGTTACAAAATTTGATTATATGGGTCTTGATGCTAGTTTTAATGAATGATAACAACATTTGGATATCATTATCATCTTGTTTTATTATTGAAACAAGCTACCACATGTCATTAATACTATTATAAAATCACCTTTATAATTGATGCCAAATAAATATTTCACCAAATGTTGCTAATTTTGTATCCTTAAATGAAGATTAAATTATTGCTGATGTATAACTCATTGAAATCTTTGCTATTTAACCATTTGGTTATTCACTTTCAGGACCTTCATTTCATACAAATTGAATTGACATAAAAAGCCAGAGTCATTGACTAAACATACATTTCACAATCTATTTTTATATGTATTTTATAAGATTAAGTTGTTCACATTATAAAATATATTTATGTCTAAAGAACAAAACTGCAAAAATTCTGATTTTTTTTAAAAAATTAGAAAGGTAATACTTTTAGTGTCTAATTCTGATTTTTAAAAAGTTAGAAAGAGAATAGAGTCTTTGATTTCATGTTTCTACTATTTTCTTTAGTAATATTTTAGTAAAATTTATTAAGAGAAGTTGTTGTTGTCATGTCCATATTACATGAAACAATGGTTGCCAGGGCCTACTCCAAAGAGAGGTAATTAAGGGAAGTTATATGCTGTGTATACACATGTAAATTGCTGTCTAAAATATTTATATATTTTATACATATATATTTTTTAAATGCACACAAATTTGCTTTTAGTATGCAAACTGTAATCAACTAAATTCATTCTCAAAATTTTAAATTGACATAATAGTCAATGATTTGTATTTGTTCGTTTATTTCTGCTGTTATTAGTCGGAATTTAGTTTTCTTTCTGTTATTTAAAAATGTATTCTTTATAGTATTTTTCTACTTCATAAAGTATATTTTCTACTTCAAAAAGAATAAATCTTGAAATGATTGAAATGAAATAGATCAATCAACCAACAAAACCGTTGCTTTACAACTTGTTAGCTGCAAAATTTGAAATTTCATAATTATTAAATACTTTTTGTTGTACATAGAAGCAATTAATGGCTAGCAAAATAAAGCAATGAATATAATCATATGTAATTTGTACTTTATTCATTTATTTATTCAGCTTCATATTTTATGTTGCTTAAAAATGTAATTAAAGTATGTTTTCTATACACTTCAGAATACTTTTTAACTCTGCTTTAATTATCAAATCTCAAAATAAACATTTCATGGTAAAATACAAAAATAACAAAAATCATATTGTTTCTTGCAAACAGTTTTGATCATCAAACTTCTCACTGGACCTATAAATTTATATTGACAAAAACAAAACAAAAATAGAGGGGATATATGTAAGATATATGTAAAATAAAAAAGACATGCTAAGAAAGATTATAACTTAACCTAGCAACAGCCCTGTAATTCTTCATTTTAATTTGAGTATCTTTTCTCTCTGTTCTAAAAATAGCAATTATTTGGTAAATTTTTCTGGACTGCATAAATTCTAAATTAATCCACATCATATGACCTTTTACATAATGATGATGATGATGTAGCTAATTTGGAACTAAATTTTGAAAACCTAAACATAATAACTTAATAAATTTCTATACTGAATATCTACACACTTTGCTTCTGCCTCTGTTGTCGCTAAGAGATTGCTGTTCTGCTTTCTTCCTATCACAACAGTATAAAAAATTTAAATATTTTGAAAATAGAATGAATAGAGTGCCAAGTGAATTGTGGCCAGAGATGTCAATTGAAATATATGTGAATATTTAATGTTGCTTCGGTTGCCGTGTTTGCTGTTCAAATTATGGATCAATATCAATGCCATCAACGTATATCTACATCATTACACACATACACATATAAAACTTTTAATGTTGAATAATGCTTAATTTAATTCATTTATTTGCTTTTTAAAAATATTTCTTTAAGTTATAATCTTGAATTTTTAAATAGTATGTTTCTAACCTTAATAGCTTCTAAACACAGTTTGTTCAAAAGCAATTTTAGATAGAGATTTTTTTTATTTGATAAACGTATTATGTTTATCAAATAAAAAAAAGAAGTGTAAAAAGTTTATGTATGTACATGTCTTATAATTCAAGCCAGTTTCCCTCAAAGTACAAGCCAGTATCCCTCAGAAAGTCTACCATGAAGGCATCCGTCCTCTTAGGCAGATAATTCTCATAGCTTTGCCATATTTAGATAATTAACATAACCTCAACCTAACCTTTAAGAAGCAATAAATGCTAGCAAACATTTTGTGAGATGTTATTAATATGCATTAATTATAAGTATTAACTATTTATATTCAATGAAGTTTTTAGCAAATAACTACTTATATTTAATGCAGTTTTTAGCCATATTGTAATATGTCAAGTGATAAATGCATGAGATAAGAATTTTTACTTTAATAGCATAAATGTAGTCCTGTTCAAAAACTATGTGATAACTAACTACAAAGCTGTTCTGACAGATACACTGATTAGAAAAATATTAATTTGGCATTAATAACAATTAAAGAAGATTGGTACATCTGAATAAGCTTTCTCTCAGTTCTCAAATAAACAAGAAAAGCTGTTTCTCAAATAAAATTCAGTGTAGGCTCTCTCTCTTCCCCCCCCTCTTCTTAGTTAATATTGCTATACTATCCCATGCTTTTCATTGAGTAAAATATGGAAAAGGAAAGAATTAAATTAAAGTCTGTAAAGAATTTCGGTAGTAGAGTCTGAAATTAAAATCATTAACTGAAATCAACAGGTTTTGGTAACAAGATTCCTTTGCACATATTGCTTTTTAATTTTCTCTTAAAATTGTAACTTATGCGTAAAATTTGTATTTAACATTACTAACCAACTTGAGAGATTTTATGCTAATTAACCAATTATTATGATTTGAAACTTTAGTATAAGTTCTTTCCATTCTTCTCACCAGAAGGCAAATTAATTTGTAGAGTATTTAAGCTAAGAGTTTGAATGTTTTAGCCTAAGAGATCCCAGCAGCTTTGCTTGCAGTTATGTATTACCACCAGCTCAGCCAAAGTTTATTCCAACTTTAGCCATTTTGCTAGTAGACTTAAAAGTTTGCCATTAATTACTTGAGCCAGCTTTCGGAAAATATTTTGTGTCTTTTCCCAGACTGCATTATTTAAATGTGGATTTCAGTTTATGTTAATTTAAATACCTCAAATGGTGCTTTCTGTTAAATTAAAAGAGTAAATGGAAAGGTTATTCTAACTTTTGTAAGACTTTGCTATTTGAATTCAGTCAGGAGTGATAATTTATTTGTCAGGCTGGTAGGGTCTGAAAGAGATTGATTTAAGCTTCCATATGAACACTACCCTATAAACTATAAAGTCTTCTTAAAAAGGTAAATGTGAGTCATTTTAATGCAGATTCTTTGTTTAATCTTATTTACAAATTTGTCTTCTGTATATATACTGTTTAAAAGAATGGGAATATGTTCTAAACTGAGAGAATATAAGATTGCTTTGTAAAATTGTCTCTAATATTGATTTAAGACATCACAGTATGTGTTTATTAATGCTTATATAAACTACAAAATGTCTTTTAAGCTCATTAATGTAAATCTTGAAGAAGAACAGGGCATACCGCGGCTGAGTGGTAAAGTCGCTGAAGACTGGTAGTTCAGTCTGAGGTGTGAATCCTGCAAATGGCTGCTGCATGGGCGTTTTCATGGTTTTCTCCATGTGTAAAATGTATATGAGCAAGTTTCTCTTAAAATGCTCTCCATGAAGGCATACCTTCCCGTAGGCAGATAGCCCTCGAGGATTTGCCGTAATATCATAAACCAAACCAACATTTAAGAAAAGCAGTGGAAAGTTACATTCTTTAATGGATTATTTCCCAGTGTAATTTATGTTTCCTGTATTTTAAAAATGTGTATAGTATTGAATCAGTTTGATCACTACTGGTATGTGTTTAAAAATAGTAAAGTGATGCAACTTTTAGCTTTCATTTCGATTAAGCAATACTTGAATTTTAAATCATTTTTTTCTTAGTGTAAGGATATATTTTTTTAAAATTTTATTAAACATTTATTCACTATTATTCATGAAATCTATAAATCAAAATTACATGTAACTGTGTATATTTTCTTTAAATAGTTATTAAGAATGTTTAATTATTGTAATAACAATTAGTAACAATTTTAATTACAGTAGGCTTTCAGGTTTTAACATCCAAAATGGTATTGATTATCATGCTGAAGAAAACCAGTTGATATATGAGCAAAGGATACAAAAACTAGAGCATGATAAAATGGATTTACAGAGAAGACTACGAGGTAATAAAGTTAAATTTGCATTTTATATTTATTTAAGGCTTATGATTAAATTTTTATGTAACACTTCTTACTGTATATGTAAATATAAATATTTTAATCACAGAATGTTTATTACTGTTAATTATTATTAATTAGGAATTACTGTTAAATTTAAAAATATTAAATTAAACTAAAGATATGATAAAAATGTATATCAAGTTGGCTAAAGAAAAGGAGTTAAGTTAGACCCATTTACAAAAACATACCTAATTGTTGATGTGAAAGCATGAATTTTTTTTTCAGTAGCTAATGAGCAGCCATAGGATGTTGTTGAAAATGTAATGCTGTGTATTTGAAGTGGCTGTTATTCTTATATGATTATTACAAAAGAAGTATATAATTTTAATAATTTATAGAAAAGCTGTGCATGAGATATTGCTTGTTAACTCTTATTGCATTATGCAGAGAGTCTATAAGTTTTCCACAGAAATTTAAAAATGTTATATATTTGCACCATTAGTCACACAGCATATATTTTTGTAGTTTTCTATTTCCGTCCAAACTCCATTTAAGGCTTTTTTCAAATTCGACTTAAGACATTCGAGTCAAGTGCAGAAATATGTGTCATATGGTGTTTCACCCCATGTAAATCAAGAGCATGTATGGATGAACACCATATTGTTTATTTATTTCGGAAGTCACAATTTAATTAACTTCAGTCTGAAGTTAATTAAAATTATAAAAGTAAATTTATTTAGAAAAAAAAAGGATTTATTTAACTCAAGGTCTAATCATTTATGATCTGATGATGCAGTATTGAGAAAAATATAAGGTGAATTTTTTAAAGTCTGAAAAAAAAATTTTCTCTTTATTTATTGTAATAATTTTGTTCCAAAAAACCATGTAGGCATGCAACATTTCATAAATTTCTTATTGCTAAATACTAACCAAATGATTATACCTAGGAGTTTAAAATGTTTTTTTATAAATGGAAAATTAAGATAAATATGAAGCAGTATTAGTGCATAAGGTATCAATGTGCAATTAAAATGTTTCATCCGTTTTTCATATTAATCCAATGTCAGTAGATAAGGCATCAATGTGCGGGTGAAATATTTTGTCTATTATTACAACTGAGCCAATAATTGTGAATGGCAATGCAATCAATATATAATTGAAATGGTTCATCCTTTTACCTCAACTTTGAAAACTGCATATATTTTTTATGTTATTTTTCTTTTGAAAAGTAATCTTTTTCCTTTTTTATTTTTGTAATAAAATAGATCTAAAAAGATGAAACATGCTAGAGCAATTGCTAGACTAAATTGTCTTGAAACTAGGCTTCGGGAATTTCACTTCACACATACTGAAATTAATGAGTTGGTTTTGCTTACTAAAGTTCTCTAAGTCAAACCCACTTTGTTTCCAAAATGCATATTTTCGTCAAGTTGAAGGATTGGCTATGGGTAATCCTCTCAGTCCGGTACCTTGCTGACATTTATATGCACTATTTGAGATGAAATTATTTGAAAATTATCTTTTCGTATTTGATCGTATGTTGACGACACTTTCGCATTTGACTGGTGATAAAGAGGATTTATCCGAGATCTATCTATTATGATTCAATTGATCCAGCCCAATTCACTCTTGAAATGAATCCAACATTCCCCTCCCCTTCCTCGATATCTTATAATCCGAATGAAACCGATTTTAGCACCACTGTGTACCGTAAACCTTTGCAGTTTGTTTACCCCCCATGCCAAGTCATGCCACCCTGTTAGCAAAAAAATGGCTTCTTTTTACTAATATGTTTCCGCGCGAAAAGTTTGTTCCTCAGAATCTTGCTACCAAGACTTAATTATTGAGAGCAGTTGCGATGACCGTGGATTTTCTCCCGTGTTATTGAGAAAGCCGTCAAAAAAATTTCAGATTCCCATCAAAGAACATTCCACGTTAGAAATAATATCAGTGACCTTGTAGTGCTTCCATTTATCCTTCTGTTAGCTAAAAATTGCACGGATTCTCCAAAATTCATTTCAGTCGGTTTCTTCCCCTATTAATAAAATACCTTCGATTCTAAAATTGCGTTTCTGTCTTGAATTCTTGGGGAATTTATAGTATATCTGTCAGTGTGGTTAAGATATATGGCCAAACAAAGAGTTGAAGTTTGTTATCAAGGAACATGAATCTTATGTCAAAAAAGGGGAAATAACAAGTCTCAATAGCGTATCATAGCTGGACTTTTAACCATATTTTGATTTCGGGGCTGCAAAAATCATCCAAAAGGCTTCTCCATAGGCGAATTGGATTTTCTTGAGGCTTTTCACATTCAAAAGATTTAGAAAGTTTAGTTAATGATTTGAAGTCCAATCCAGTCCTTCCTAATGCCTTTAAATTTACTGTCTTAATTCAATTATTTTTGCCGATAGATGGCGTTACCTCCTCGCACTTGGTACTACCAGAGGTATAAAAATCCGTTCAGTGGTTGCTTCCATTATTTGAAGTTCGATTTTGAGCGTAATGTGCATTTGCTTCCTCGCTCCCTATGTTAACTTCGCTAATATTTCTTATGCTTGATCAGACAGCCTGGCTCAGTAAAAAGTAGGCGGCCAGTGCAACTCTGATTAAAAATCTAGTTATAAACCACGGCAGTGCTGATAAGCACCACGTGTTTCTGTGATTCCTATTTTTCTTCTTTCTATGTATTTCTTTCTCCTGATGAGGAGGGACCTTTAGCTGCCCTCGAAATCGATTGAGTGTTTCATTATATACGCTAAATATAGGTTGTTTGTTACGATTTTGATTGTCACATTAGCGTGTTCTCTTCTAGTCTATTTAGTGCTATCAACCGCATTTTCGAGAATATTTTTACTGTTTATGTTTACCACGTGCACCATTTATTTACTTCTTCCACGTGGCCATCATTTTTCGGATTTGGTTAATGCTATCAACCGGCATTTTCGAGGTAATTCTATATTTTTCGGTTTACCACGTCACGATTTTGACTTTCGTTGATTCTTTCCACGTGTCTATTGGTTTTCAGTATTGGATGTTTCTCTCCTTTTGGAATGTTTTTGTCATTTGTTGATGAAAATTGTCTTCATTATTTATTGGTGTTCTTGTTATAAGTAACTACTTGTTTGGACTTTCGGAATTACATTTCTTTTGTTCACTTGTTTCTTGCTTGTGCCCTTTTCACAATATGTCCACTGACAGGAACCGATTTTGTAAGTTACGCCTTAAGCGTACGAAATTCTTGAATCATCTACAGTTTCTACTTAAATGCAAACATCAAAATTTCATTCCCAAATTTATACATGTGAAATGTAGCCTTAAAGCTTCCGTTCACGTTTAAAAATTTTGCATAAAATTCAAAATTGGCACTTCTTCGTCACATTATAAGGGACACACGCAAACGTTTATCTAAAATTGAATTTGAATTATATTACCTCCATTTAAAATTGCTAATTCCACTGAAAATTTTTCCTCATTTGAACATACATCCTGGTCTAGAACCCGATACCGTTTGTCAACGGCATAAAAATGTGCTCATTTTCTAAATTCCAAAAACTCACACCCCAGTCGGATAGTCCCAATTATCTAGCTGATCTTCCCACTGTAAACGTTAACTCCATCGTTAATATCTCCAATAGGAATCTTTCGGAGGATCAGTTAAAAGTATTAAATATAATTTCAACTTTTCAAAGACATCTAAACCTTCAATTCCTCAAATCATCGCCCCTATAGAGAAAGCCTTTAAATTCTCCAAAATTTCGGAACGCAGAAGGATACAATCCGCCACCTAATTACTCATAACGTTAATTTAACAATAAATCTTTGGGTTCTAATCTTAGCAAAAAAGGAAAATGAGATCTTACGTGAAATTCATTCTGATACTAAATTCATTATCTCTAAAGCTGATAAGGGCGGACAGATCGTTGTTATGGACAAACACACATATATACTGAGTCTCTCTAAATTGATAATGAAGGCCCATACTGCTCGATCCCTAAAGATCCTTCAACTTCGGACCTCATGAAAGTAAAAAGTGCTATTAAAATCTTCCCACATTCTGCCAACTCAGTTGAAGAAATCACTTATTCCGCCTATTACTAATTGCGCTAGACTTTATGCTCTTCCAAAAGTCCACAAAACCGGTATTCCTTTTCGACCAATTTTTCCAACATAGGTACTGCTTCATATCCTTGGGCCAAATATTAGTTTCCAGATTTTCTCCTCTACTTGATAACAATATTCACACTGTAAAAAATTCTGTTGAAGTCATTGATAAACTTAAAAATATTTCCCCACTTCGTTCCATTATGGTTTCATTTGATGTCAAATCATTGTTTACTAATGTTCCGGTCGAAGGAGCACTAAATTGTCTTGAAACTAGGCTTCGGGAATTTCACTTCACACATACTGAAATTAATGAGTTGGTTTCGCTTACTAAAGTTTCTCTAAGTCAAACCCACTTTGTTTTCCAAAATGCATATTTTCGTCAAGTTGAAGGATTGGCTATGGGTAATCCTCTCAGTTCCATACTTGCTGACATTTATATGCACTATTTTGAGATGAAATTATTTGATAATTATCTTTTCGTATTTGGATTCGGTATGTTGACGACACTTTCGCACTTTTTGACGGTGATAAAGAGGATTATCTGAGATTCTATCTATTATGAATTCAATTGATCCAGCCATCCAATTCACTCTTGAAATTGAATCCAAAATTCCCTCCCCTTCCTCAATATTCTTATAATCCGCAATGAAACCGATTTTAGCACCACTGTGTACCGTAAACCCTTTGCAGTTTGTTTACCACCCCATGCCAAGTCATGCCACCCTGTTAAGCAAAAAATGGCTTCTTTTTACTATTATGTTTTCCGCGCGCTAAAAGTTTGTTCCTCTGAATCTTTGCTTCCAATGAACTTAATTATTTGAGAGCAGTTGCGATTGACCGTGGATTTTCTCCCGTGATTATTGAGAAGCCGTCAAAAAATTTTCAGATTCCATCAAAGAAGACATTCCACTGTTAGAATAATATCAATGACCTTGTAGTGCTTTCCATTTTATCCTTCTGTTAGCTATAAAATTGCACGGATTCTCCAGAAATTCAATTTTCAAGTCGGTTCTCCCCTATTAATAAAATTCACCCCTTCGATTCTAAAAGATTGCGTTTCTGTCTTGAATTCTTGGGGAATTTATAGTATATCATGTCAGTGTGGTTTAAGATATATTGGCCAAACAAAAAGAGCGTTGAAGTTTCGTATCAAGGAACATGAATCTTATGTCAAAAAGGGGAAATTAACAATCTTCAATAGCGTATCATAGCTGGGACTTTTAACCATAATTTTGATTTCGGGGCTGCAAAAATCATCCAAAAGGCTTCTTCCATAGGCGAATTGGATTTTCTTGAGGCTTTTCACATTCACAAAGATTTAGAAAGTTTAGTTAATGATTTGAAGTCCAATCCAGTCCTTCCTAATGCCTTTAAAATTCTACTGTCTTAATTCAATTATTTTTGCCGATAGATGGCGTTACCTCCTCGCACTTGGTACTACCAGAGGGTATAAAAATCCGTTCAGTGGTTGCTTTCCATTATTTGAAGTTCAGATTTTGAGCGTAATGTGCATTTGCTCCTCGCTCCCTATGTTAACTTCGCTAATTATTTCTTTATGCTTGATCAGACAGCCTGGCTCAGTAAAAGTAGGCGGCCAGTGCAACTCTGATTAAAAATCTAGTTATAACCACGTGCAGTGCTGATAAGCACCACGTGTTTCTGTGATTCCTATTTTCTTCTTTCTATGTATTTCTTTCTCCTGATGAGGAGGGACCTTTAGCTGCCCTCGAAATCGATTGAGTGTTTCATTATACCTACGCTAAATATAAGGTTGTTTGTTACGATTTTGAATGCTAGAGCAACTTCAGTAGTCATAGTGAATTATTTAAATATTTAGTTTCATTCTAGTGAGTGAGGTGCTGATTAAATATTTAGGTGGAAGTCTAGATTCCAAATGTGTGATAGGTTTATTAAGACTATTTTAAAATGAAAAAGCATTCATTTAATTGAAGAGATAGTTCAATTACACACTAATGCTTCAAAAATACATCTTATCTGATGAAAAATATAATAGAAAAGTAATGAAAGCTAATTGCCTGAATCTAGTGTTTATTATTAATTTTATATTATTTTAATTTAGTGTTTATTATTATTCCAATATTACTGTTTCTGTGAAAAACAAAGGCTCATGTGATTCTGCAATATTTCTTTCAAACAGCAGAGTACTTGATGCATTATTGTAATGACTAAAATGAATCTAATCTTGCTGAAAAATAATTTTAAAAAATTATAACTTCTGAATTATTATCAAAACAATAATGCTAGGGTGAAAAGTTACTAAACTTTCTTATACTGAAACACATGATTTAAAAATTGCTATTAAAAATCATTGACAAATCCTCTTAGTGTATTTTAAAAAAGTGTAAACTAAAATTTTGCATTTGTTTTTGTGTGAAAAAGGTACAATATAACTCAGTCTAGATTGAATCTGGTCTGAACTTCAACAAATATCTTTTTTAGCATCTGGCTCATCAAAATAAGAATTAAATCATCATGGGATTATCCCCTTCCCTAGTGTAAAATTTATTAAGCAGTTGATCAACTGAATTTTAGGTTACTTATGTTTATTTGTACTTCACAGAAATTTTTAGAAAAAAACTTATGCTACCGTGTGATTTGAAATAATTTTTAAATTTACTGTGATAATAACAATGCTGAAAAACTGTGATAATGTATGTCTTTTTTTTTTTTTTCTAGAGATGTCAAAATTTTTTAAACAACAGGGAATAATTCTTGATGGTGAAGATTATGGTCGAGGGAGGAATTCATCAGATGCAGAAAGTAGAAAACTTCAAGATGAAATAAACAGCCTTAGAAAGCGAAAGTCTGGTAAATAAAGTTTTATTTTTGGTATGTGGAAAGCATGCCGATAACTTCATAAGTTATAAAATATTATTTTAGTAGTGTATTTAAACGTAATTGGTTGTTGAATTTATTCATTTTCTGATCTTTGTTATCAGGAGAATCTAGTCCTAAAGAGTTAATTATTTTTTATTTTATTTGCTTTAATTAAAAATATACATTTGCTCAATGATTTAACTTTTCTGCTATTTTATTATTTCAGAAGCATAAATATTGCACAATCCATGAGTGGCCATAATTAAATTATTACAGTATTAGTATGAACAAAGACTTTTAAGATATCACTATAAAATAAGTATGTGATAATTAATAATTGTTTTAGTTAATGAAGCTAAATAGGCCTTTTAATCTTATGATTTCAGATAGAGGAAAAAAAAAAATATTTTAGTAGACTACTACTAATTCATGAGAAAGAAAAGGAAAAATAAAAATATTATATATATCTCATTAAGAGCAAACTAAGCTGGTTTATCAATTTAGAGTTAATGTATAGCATCAGTGTGATTAATGAACTATAATTTAAAGACAGTGATGACTATAAAGAAGGTTGCCCAATATAAATGTTGGTCTTCTTATCACAATGAAACTGACATAGAGCTGACATCTTAAATTAATTGTGTGAGATGAGGCTGTTCTAGCTTAAGAAATGTTAAACTGTTATAGTATCATTCCCAGTTTGTGTAATGAGGAATTTTTACTAATTATAATGATTAGCTTAGTTATTTAACCTCTTCAGAGATGAATTTTTTAAATGGCTTAAAAAATATTTAAATTTTTGCTTAATTAGGTTTTATGAATTTCACATCAGCAGCAACTCAGCGAGACAGAAAAAAAATGGGAAAAAGAATATATACATGAAATAATAATATGCTAATAAGTTGGCAAAGAATATTAAAGGCAAATTATGAATGGAGCTGTTTCATACATTAAGGCATGGTTCTTTGCATTTTTTTAAAAATGTGGAATGCTCATCTTGCAAAATTTTTGTCATGACATCTTGAAAGATTTTTATTTTTTCAATTAGAATTATTTTAATTAAAAAAAATTAAATGTATACATATGTCTTAGTGTCTCTGAAGGGATTAAATTATGCCATAAACCAAGCTTTATTTATTTCTTACTAGGTATTAGAATTATTTCATGTCTACTGTGATCTTTCTTCTTTTAAATTTTGAATGAAACTAACTTGTCTGTGGTTGATGATAATACTTTAATTTGATTGTATTTATTTTTTTTCATTTAAATTTTTCTTATCAATGAAATAATTGAATTTTTATGGACAAAAAACATTTCTTATAAAAATATGTTCAAAATGTTTAAATTTTATTTTTATGAAAAAATTCTTAGACAATTATCATTTGCAACTAAAACATTATTTTTGTTATTTTATTTATTAAAGAGTTAGAGGTGGAGACAAGTAAATTAAGGAAGGAGCACAGGGATATTTTGTGCGGAAAACAAGAATTAGATTCTTTACAAGATGAAAAGATTCTGCGAATTAGAGAATTAGAAAAAGCACTTCGTTTCTCTAAAGCAGAAAAAGAAGATCTCCATAGGGTATGACACATAATTAATGCTGTAAATATTTTTTTATAATTTAACTAAAATCCCTTTCAAAATTTCGTGCAATATTTATTTAAATAATATTTAAAAATTTAAAATAGAATTTTTGTTCAGTTTTTAATTCTTTTTAAATTAAGTCTTCAAATTTTTCTACACACCATATTTCTTTATAGAAATTTATTAATAAAGTATTAAAATATTTGAACATCCTTTAAGAAATTTTAAAGTAACTTTTAAAATTTATTAAGATGATTTTAGTGCTTAAATAAGCATAAAAAATTATATATTTGCTTAACTTTTATCTTTTATACTAAATTATATCTCATTTTTATAAGTTTTTGATCATAAAAGTACTGTATTTGACGGCATATAAGATGCACCCTTATTTAGACGGCCACACACAAGGAAAAAAAGTTTCAATAGCGGGGTTTCTTTTAGTTCTTATGTTTTGTAAAAGCCAAATAAACAATTATTAAATGCAATTAGCTTCACGTATAAGACTGTGTCCTTCATGTATAAGACGCAGGTAACTTTTTGAGACCAAATTTAGGAAAAAAAGTGTGTCTTATATGCCGTCAAATACGGTAATCATTTGTGAATATCTTAGTTGTTACTGATTTTGCTAGTTTTCTTGGTTATTGCATACTAAATTACCGAATTTATATACAAAGAATATAAATTCTCTGTTTTTTTTGCTCTGTTTATTTCCTTCATTTTTATATTTATTTTTTAATGTAGGATTTAATGGATTGTCATGAGAAGTTAAAACTTCAAGCAAAAGAGCTTAAAGATGCCTTAGGCCAAAGGAAACTTGCTATGGCTGAGTATGCTGAAGTTAGTGATAAGTAAGATTTTGTGCTTTTATGTTTAACCATAAGGAATTGGTTTTAAAATAAAATTTATTTGAAATTAAATGATAGGAACATATTTGTATGTAAACTAAACAAATACAAGAGTGTAATGCAAACCTGCAATAAAAATAAATTAATACAAAATCTTTGTCAAGAAGCAGTCAAAAGACTTATTAACAGAGCCATGTTTCTGAATTACATGTGAGTGAACTGCAAAACTTCTAAAAGAATTCCTTAAATTTAAAGCAATTAAATGACAATGTATAAATGTAAAATTCAGAGTGTTAAGAATTTTAAGAAATTAAAAAAAATTTAACAATTTTAATGATGAAACTGTCTATTATCTGAAAATAACCAAGATTATACTCAAGATATGCCCTGCTCTGATGTGACTTGAGTTTTCACTTGCATTGCTTTTGTATGTGTAAAAGCTAACAGATATATAGCAATGCCATTTTATTTTGATGAAATCATGTTTCTAAGTTTAATATTGTAAGTGTATTTAAATCATCTGCATTGTAAAGTGGACAAAATTTTAAAAAAGGCAAAAATATACATAAATAGTAAGAAATTGTAAAATTTTTCTTTTTAATCTAGATTTAATTGTAAGTAAGATTTTTCATTTATGACTCTGGTTTCACTAAGACTGAGTTTAACTGTATCTAAGTTTAAAGTATAATCGATAGCTTTTACACGGTAAAGAGATTAGATATAGAGTCATTGATTAAATTTACATATGAAAAGTTCAGACTTCATTTATTATTGGATTTTATCAATATGTGAAAACAGTCTTCGTTTTAGCTTGTGAATTCATTTTTGCAACTGGGAAACATATCGGTAAATCTAAAGCTTATGAATGTATGTGAAATTTAAATTTTACACTTTATTTCTGCAAATATACAATAAATTGAGAAACAAAATGTACTTTTTGTTTTCTAAACATAAAATGATAAAATAGATCAGAAATGTGGATTACTTGTTTCTGGCTGTAAATAAAATGATCAGAAGAGTAATTTGATGGAAACCAAACCATCAAAAGAGAGGATGCCTACATACTTCTTTTCCGTGTGCCTGAAGGGAGATAACTCTAAGTATGCATTTAAAAAATTTCAGAACTAATTATCTTAAAAACACACTACATTTTGATAATTTATATAAAAGCTAAATATGTTATTGCTTTACTCAAAACTATGAGTTGTTCTTAAAACAATAATAGTGAATAAGTTTCTTTCACTGTAAACTTTATTCATTTGTTTCACGCATTAATTTTTCATTTAATGAAACTATAATTATAAGTGCCATTTAAAATTTTAGTTATTGAACATAATAATTATCTTCTTCCTTAAACAAGATTTTTTCAACAGACTTTCTGAATTAAGGGCACAAAAACAGAAGCTTTCTCGGCAAGTGAGAGACAAAGAAGAGGAATTAGAAACTGCCATGCAAAAAATTGATATATTACGCCAAGATCTCAGGAAAGCTGAAAAGTTTAGAAGAGAGGTATTAGCTATTTTTCCCAAAACTTTCATTATTCAGTTAATGTTTGATACTTTGGTGCAAATATTATTATCTTTTCAATTTTTCTGGATTGTTTTCGTTGTCTTACATTACTTTCAAGTCTGAATGATTTAATAGATTGTATTTGCATATTTTTTTTTTTTTTTCATTTCAGAAGTTAAAGTTATTTCATCAATTCCAACATTTATTCATGCTTATTTAAATTAAAAAAGGGGGGTTCTGAAATTTGCTTTAAATATATTTTGCTATTTTTGTTTATACAGAAAGATGGTTTTGCTTCCATGTAATATTAGTAACAGTGTCAAAACTGTGTGTACGAATCTTGATGGAAAGTGGAGAATATTGATATGAACCATATTTTTATAGAAAAGCATGACTGGCATGTCACATGCACAGATGGAAAAGATACAAAGAAGATAGAAAAGACACAAAGATATAGCAAGAACGAAATACAGAAAGCAGTATAAATACTTTATTGGGGAAAACTTAACAGTACAACAACTTATAGACATAGATAAACGAAAATGTAGTTTCACAAAGTGTTTGAAGCTCTAACCATTCATAGTGATTAATGTCTAACATTAATGTTGCATGGATTTCCAAATGTTTTTTAAGATGCATGGAGTTTCACGAATATTAGCAGCTCCCAGATATATATAAAATGTTAGATACCATCAGCTAACACATAGGCAGAGCGCATATTTGACAACTTAGCATTCACAAAAATATATTTTCTTATTAAACTGAATATTCTAGTTTCAATATAGGAAATAATATTAAATGTTTCTATTTTTTTAGTTTGAAGCTCGAGTTGAAGAAGCACAATCTGAAGCAACAAAAGAGCGAAGGTTAAGAGAACGAACAGAAGAATATGCTCACCATTTAGAAGATGAAATGGAAGCCTTAAAGCAAAGACATATTGGTAGGGCACCTAGTCCTGTTCATTTAGAAGCTTTACAGGAAGTTAACAGGTAAATATATTTTATGTTGCTGAAGCACAATTTAGCATTTATTACTTTTTGAAAGAGCTGTACCCTGTTTAATATCTATATTAATGATCTAGATCATACTAAAAATCTATTCCCGTAATCAAATGTTTGCTATATGCAGATCACCTAGTTATATGGACTGATGCTCCTAAATCTGTTGCAAAAATGACTATTGAAAGGACCTTAAATAAAGCAATGTTTATTTTAGAGAACTGGTCTGAGGAAAATAACATGAAAGTAAACCTAGATAAGATATTTTTGCAGTCTTCTTATCTATTGCTTCAGCCTTTCCATCCATAGGTAGTTTACAAGAACCAGACGTCAGAAAAGAGCAAATATTTAGGTGTAAACTTGGACAGAAAACTTTTTGTGGAATTTGCATACTGACGACGTCTTCAGTCGGGTAACAAAAAGACTGTCTCTTCTGAAGATTTTGGTGGGATCTAAATGGGGTTGCTCCAGATCTACCTTAAATCAAACTTATAATGCTTATATATTGCCTGTCATAACTTACTGCTGTGAACTGCATGTTACTGCTTCTAAGAAAATAATTGATTCTATTGAAACTTTAAAAATCAAGTCTTGCATATCATTACTGGAGCAATTAAATCCAACCCTCAAGCTCAAGTAACAGACCTCTCAGTCTAGTTATTAAGAATTAAGGAACGTGCTTTGCTGTTATGGGAGAAAATTATTACGACACCTGGTCTGATTATATGGGATCATGTCTCTACTGAGATTAATCATAATCTAAAGACTCAGAGAGGCTTTGTTCAGGGGTTATAAATCTAAATTTCTCATCTTGTCATCGATTTCGGAATACAGAAAATTTTATTACCCCATTGCTCCATCAAAGCCAAAATATTTTCTATCTGTTTTGACTTGAGTCAGAATGTGTTAAAAGCATGGGACTGTAATGACATCCTAAGATCTGTGACATATGAAACTATGAATAATCATTACCCTATTTTGCACTGGCTCAGGGTCTTTACAGATAATTCTAGGCTGAAAGATTGTGCCAATGCAGGAGCCAGTGTTTTTTGCAAGCTCTTTTCTTTTTACTCTCCTGGTGGTGCTCACATGTCAGTTTCCAATGGGGGAATCTCTGCTACCCGATTGGCCCTTCTTCAACTGCAAAACTAACTGAAATGGCTTTCTAAAGTTGTGATTCTCTAGGATGCAAGAGCAGCTCTTCAGCCCATAGACTCTTCTGGTTCATCTCGTACAAAAGACGTCGATGACTATATCAATCTTTTGGCATGTTCGTCAGATTGAAATAAAATAGTTGTTTTTCAGTGGATCTCAGCCTACTGTGGAATTAAGAGTAATGAGACCACTGACTTTCTAGCAAAAAAGGAGGTCTGTGTTTTACAGCTAAATAATTATAAACTGGCTTACCAATCTATTAAGATAATACTTAAAAGGACATTAATGAGTTCCTTTTCTAGGGACATTGCTGTTAGAAGTGGTCAAAAGCCCTAGTTCAGTCATATTCAAGATATTCCTGAGTGTGATCGTGATAAATCAGTGGCACTGTTATGGCTATTTTCTGGCCATGATTGTCTCCGAAAACAACACGATAGACTTGGCTGTGGATCCTTGCATGACTCCTTGCAAGTAATAGCTAAATTTCTACAATACATATGAAATCTATTTTACAATTAAATTAGAAATAATTGTAAAAACATAATTAGACTATAATTCTGCATGTATTAGAGTAGTATTTATTAAAGTGGTAGATTGAAATATTTAAATTCATTTACAATATTTTTATATTAATAAATTACATTATACACTATAAAAATAAATGTATAATCTACTTTTAATTATTTGTGTTAATATCAGGGAAGCAGATAACGGATAAATGAGAAACATTGATAAGCCAATCTTTCAGTTTTCATGCATATTGTATGTGTTTATTTCTTAAAAAAATCAGTAATTTTACTTTGTTTTTGATAATGTTTAAATATTTGTCAAATTTTACTGTTTAGTGAAATTTGAAAAATATTTAACGCAATAGCACAATGATAAAGTGCTATTTTATTGTATTCGTATCCCGTCTGTTTGATAAAGTCCAATACAGTTTCAACAGAATTCATTGCTCTCTCAGGACAAATGTAATTATCAGTTCTTCATTTCTATTTTCAATAGCACTGACTACCTTTTCTGTTCTTGTGACATTTGAAATGATATGCTTGTCACTCAAATATCGAAAGCCCAGCTCTGTCAAATCACCGTCGAAACACTCTTCAAGGGCTTTTTTATCCATATTTTTGATGAATTTAACATTTTCAATTTTTTTATCATACGACTTCAGTTATTGCCTTGATTTCTTCACAATTAGGAAGAATTTATATATATATATATATATATAATCGGATTAGTGTTACTGGTTTTACCTTTTGACCAAACATTTTCTACTCACCCATGTAGCTCTGAGTAAGCATGCATGGACACCACCACGTATCAATAATTTGTGGCCAGATGATAAAAAAGTGTGCTGTATTAATTCCATATTAACTAACTACCTAGTTTTTACAAGTGATATTGTGAATTTTAATGTATCATCAGTTATTTAAGTAGTAACATCTGTTTTGATTTTTCACTTTATAATCATATTGCATTACCTTATAAAATGTTTTGTTATTTGCGGTGTAATAATTTTTAGATTATAAGAATATTGAAAAGAGCAGATAGAGTTTTAGCATTATTAAGGTATGCAAAGTGAGAAAATACCAAAGATTTGACCAACTTCATAGATGATGACAAATAGTGTTGCCATCAGGTTAAAGCATTTAATAAGTAATTTCCTTACGTGGTAAGATTTTTAAGTAGTTGGGTGTGAACCCTTTAAAGTACTGAGCAACAAACATAGGAGACATTCAAATTAAGTAACCAAATATTTTTACTACATAAATTATATATTAGCCCAAATTTATTTTTTAATGTTATCATGTGAAACATTGCATTTTATATAGGTTAAAAATTGAATTAGAGAGGATGGAATTGCACAGAACTGAAGCCTTAACTGAACAGCAAGCAAGGCATCATGTAGACATAACAGCTCTCCATGAGCAGCTTCAAGAAGCTGACTTAACCATTGAAGCAATGGAAAGAGAGGTGAATAAATTATCTGTATTATTTTATACTGCTGAAGCACAAGTTAGCATTTATTATTTTTTAGAGGATGTGGGTAATAAAAAAAGTAATTACAATTAAAAGTAAGTTTTTGCAAAAAGTGTATTATTCCATATTTATAAAATGCTCTTATGCGTAGTATCATTATAGAACTTAATTAGATTTATATAAAATATCATGACAGTAGAATATCTATATCATAACTTTCAATATATATTAATTTAAATTTTATTTTGAACAAGAGATTTTTTTAAATAAGCTCTTAAAAACCTAGAAATAAAAATATGACTGAAGTGAAAAATTGTGTACAGTCAAAAGTCGTTAATTCGGACACCCATAATCCGGACCTCAAAGCTAAAAACTTTCTGCGCATGCGCCGCATTGACACATGCGCATAGGCATTCACGCGTGCATGTAAGATCTTTACGACTGCGCATTCGCGTGTGCGCAAGCGCAGAATACGTTTTTACGTGCGCGTTTAATGTATAACGGATGGTATAAGCTAAAATTAACTATTTCAGTTAATGTTGATGATTGCGTTGTTCCTTAATCTTCGAATTGGATGCGGCTTATTATTTTTTGCAGACTGTAAGAGCAATGTTATAAAAGTAAACTTGAACTTTTGATTATGTCAAATAGAATTTCCGATGCTGGAGCTCCCAAAGGATCTACAAAACGAAAGTATGTTTCGATGTCCATCAAACAAAAAGTGGAATTGCTGCAAAAAATGGATAAAGATATAAAGAAGGTGACAGAGAGGTTAGTGAAAACGAAAAAATTTCGATTTGACAAGTTATTCGGTATTCTCGGCACAGCAATTACGAGACTTGAACAGTGAAACTTGAAACGAGGAACTGAACAAGAAATTATGTCTGTTTATAGAATTAAAGAGAAAGTATTATCACATAAAACAAAGCAACTTAAACAACTTACGTTGAAAAAAATGTTTAATAAAGTAAACAAATAAATATTAAGCTTTTTTTTTTTTTTTTTTTTTTTTTGGTAAATTTTGATATCCTTTAGATCATAATTGTTCTTTATTTCATAAATTATGGTTTCATATTTTTAATTTTAGAATTTCTGCATGCCATGTTATGAGATTTAAACTAATGATCTATAATCCGGAATCGTCGAAGTCCCGACGAGTCCGGATTAACGACTTTTGACTATATATATATATACACAAATTAAAAAACAGTTCAAAAGCTAACCCATTTGTGTGCTCATAGCAGCAACAAGTGCTGGTAATAATGTAAAATGAAATGAATTAAGTCTTTAATTCATCATGTATTCAATTTGGAATAAATCACATGCAAAAACCAACAAAAAAGAAGCACAGTGGCAATCTGCAAGAGATAGGGAGCAAAATATGCCAAAACCAAAAATGAAAGGTGGAATTTACATTCACTGCATTTTCAGTAGGGGATTGGTACAATGAAAGGTGTAAGTAAATAAAACAGCTTATTTCTGAGCTGACAAAGACACAAAGTTTAAAAATTGTTTCAGTTACTTAGCTCTTTCGTTGCACTGAACAACTAATGACAATGCAGTGAAAGATGCAAATTTCATATTTTGTTTTAGTTTGGGCACATTTTGCCCTGTATTTCATGCAGTTTGCCATTGTGCTTCTGTTTCTTATTTATTATTATTATTTTTTTTGTATGTGATTTATTCCAGATTGAGTATGTGATGAATTTAAACATTTTTTTATCTTTTAATTTATTTTGAATTATATATATATACATATATAAATGCACACATACACACCAAAATTACATGCATAATGTGTTATGTCCTTTTTCCTAGCAGAGTTTTAGTCAATCAGGCTCATTGGCGGCCAGCTGGATAAAATCATTGACCGATAATAATTCAACTTGCATTTAAATCCCAGCAAATGGTCTGGCTGTATGGGAATCCCCCCCCCAAGTTTTCCCCGTGTGTTATTGGAATATAAACTAATTTCTCTTAGAAAGTCCTCTGTGAAGGCATCTTCTCCTTAGCCAGATAAGCCTTAAGAGCTTTGCCTTAATATAATATTAACCTTACTTATGTAACATCCATCTAATTGAACTGATGAATCCACCAAGTGTAGAGATTTGTTCTGTAATTAGATTTCTTCAAACTGAAAACCTTAATGTACTTGTAGGTGAAATTTATTGTGTAACTGTGTTTGAATAAAATTACACATATAGAAGTACTGTGCATTTATGGTACTTAGGGATGGTCAGTTATCTGTAATAAGAGACTAGGAATAAAGCCAGTCTGGAATGTTGATCTCTCTCAAACTGTGTAATAGATTGACTCAACAGCAAGGCAGCAAGCTCTGTGATGAAAGCCTAAGTTCATTAATATGTATCTAACTTCAGATACTCCTTTCATCCTCAACATGTTTATTTCTAAGCTGACTGGAGCTTCATTAAGGAATAGTCCTCATACTGTAATGCTTATGTATCTGCAGTCAATATGTTCCAAAATTTATTCCATATAATAGGAAACACTTTATAAAACAATATATTTGTACAGCATACAGAGTAGAGTTAAATTTAATTGATAAGTTAAATAAAACAGCACCAGCATTAGATAAATTAATAATGATGTTTGAAATTAGACAAAATAGCAACATTTTGATGTTCGGCATACATTTTGATGAAAACTTTATCTCACTCTCAAAACTGATATAGTTTTATTCAAAATCTATATCAAACTCAAGTTCCTGTTTAGCTTGATTTTGCATTAACATATTTCTCTTCCGGTTAATCATAATGTCTTTTACATATTACAGTGTACTACATGTTGCACTGGTAAATAAAGTACTGCAAAATGAGCATTGTTCTTTTTCACACCTATGAAAGTTAAGCATTTTAATATTTGAACTTAATATGCAAAAGAGAAACAAGAAATGAAAATATACAGTTTTTGTATTGTACAGCAAAACAAACAGTCTCTAAGAAGCGAGAAATAAGAACCATTTATTTTCCTATAGACATAGTCAACACTTTTAATATCATTAACTGCACATTTTAAGGCTCTTTATTGCCTTAAAAAACAGGACAGCTGTGATGATACACTGCTAATTACTAATGAAAGTATTATGAATGCTAGAGCCAGAATGGAAGTGCAAAAAAGGGCCTCAACAGTGAGTGCACAAGTCAAGTACTTTCTCTCCGTTAATAGCCAAGTTTCCCATCAACATATTTATTACCCATAATCTGGAATGTTAACTCAAAATTCAAAGTGTTTCTTGTAACCTGAGAATATACAAAAGTTTCTGTTAAGACCATTTCCGTTTTCTGTATTTAGTTACATTAACTGAAAACAAATGTAAAGATACATTGGAAGATAATATTGAACATCTCTGAGTTCCTAAATTTCAGCTATTTTATGAACTAGTGCCACTTTGCATACATTTTGAAATTTATGGCAAACTTCCTTTTCTTTGCCACACTAAGCAACAGATACTGAATCACCAGATATGACATAATGTGAAAGAAACAGACGGAGTATGAATTTTCTAAGCGAAAATCCTACAGCAAAAAAGAGCGAAATATTTTTTAGTTTATCTCACATCTTTACTATAATTCTGCAAATGAAATAAAAACATACCTTGAAAATCAGCTAATAGTAGTTCCCACAGTGGCAGCTCGTAATAAGCATTGTGGAGCTGCAGTACCCCCTATTTCCACTTATTATTATTTTTAATATAGTGTGCCCTTAAGTCTTTAATTCTTTCTTTATATTTTTACAATACGTAATCCTTAAGCTTAATGTCAGTAGCCATCCCTTACTTTGTGGAAAAGATACGAAAGTCTTTGTTTGGAACTGCGCGCTTCACAGTTCCAGCAACATGGTGTTTGACTGTTCTGCGCATGCGCACACAGAAAGCAGCACGCAAGCCAGGTAGAGAGAAGAGCACTGTCACTCTTGCAGTGCCGTAATTCTGTCATGTTGTTGAAAACATGATTTCTTTTTACTCCGTGCATGTGGTATTCTTCCACAAGGAACTTCATCATACGGACCATAAACAGAGTTCATGAAAATTTGCAACTTTTAAAAAATTTCCTTACTGAAATTCATTCAACATCAAATGCAGATCAGACTATTCAAAAAGCAACAGGAATTTTAAAATATCTAAATGATGATAATTTCAAGTTTTAGTTAGAGATTTATTTATCAGATACCTCATATTGAAATAATATACAATTAAATGCAATCCAAAGAAATTAGTGTGTTTTAAGTTTTAAAAACTGCTATTTTTAGAATTAAGAAACTCAACTAGTGCCACTTTGCATACATTTTGAAATTTATGGCAAACTTCTTTGCCACACTAAGCAACAGATACTGAATCATCAGATATGTGGACATGATGTGAAAGAAACAGACGGAGTATGAATTTTCTAAGCGAAAATCCTACAGCAAAAAAGAGCGAAATATTTTTTTAGTTTATCTCACATCTTTACTATAATTTTGCAAATGAAATAAAAACATAACTTGAAAATCAGCTAATAGTAGTTCCCACAGTGGCAGCTCGTAATAAGCATTGTGGAACTGCAGTACTCCCTATTTCCACTTATTATTATTTTTAATATAGTGTTCCCTTAAGTCTTTAATTCTTTCTTTATATTTTTACAATACGTAATCCTTAAGCTTAATGTAAATAAAAATTTTTCAAAAACACTGATGTCAGAAGCTAAGGAAATATGTGACTTTATACTGTGTATTAATATAATGCACAGATATTCTTCCACTAAACACTTAGCAGCTGCTAAATTGTTTAACAAGAAATGCTTAGTTTTAGGAATGAACATTCTACAGAAGAAATAGTACTGACCACTGAAGCATATCCAATGATTGGCAAAGAAAAGCTTGAAACTGAACTAAAAGTATTCTATTGTAGGTCTGATATCCACGAATACTGCAAATTAATTGAGCTACTGAAATTTATCTTCGAAAATAATCTAGATGATGTTCTTAGTGAAATTACGAAACTGATAAAAATTCTCTTGAGAGTTCCCATGACTACATCAGAGGCAGAATGCTGCTTTTTAACATTGAAAAGAATGGAAACTTTTCTAAGAAGCACTAGGAATTTGGAAAGACTAAATGCGCTGGCATTGCTTTCAATAAAAAAAAAAAAATTTCTTGGTTGTCATCCAGAGATCAAGGAGAAAATTATTGATCTTTTCGTGCAAATTGAAAACAACAGGAATGGATTTCATTTTTAAATGACTAGACAAAGATTGAACTGTAATAATTTTGGTTAAAGTTATTAAGAAATGTTTAATTTTTTTCTTGTAAGATTTCATGATGTTTCAAAATAAATTTTCTTTTCATACATGTTTATTTCCTTTTACATAATTTTAAAACAAAGGTTAAATTTTTTGGGAACAGCACCCAGACTAATTTTAGCCACGATCCGCCACTGAGTTCCCATGTACATTTATTAATCATAAAAGTGAAAATAGCATCAAGCTATATTATTAAAGAATTTTTATTCATAATAATGTCACATTTATTACTTTTTAAATACTTTTATTTTGTAATCTAAAACCAGTCTTTTAAGAACGAATTTTTGATTCTTTCCTCCTTATTAAATTCATTCTTTGTAAATGCTGTGAAATTTACCAATTTGAAGGTTTAATATTTGTTGAAACAAGTGAATTCACTGTTAAAAAACAAGTGAATTGTTAATATAAATTCATTTTTGACTTGTTAATGAAAATTAATTCTTGTATATTACATAATTTAAAAATTTTTAGTGTGTTGTAAATACCAGTGAATGAGTAGTTTCTTTTAAACCCCAACAACTGACACTTCTTATAATCATTAATAAATGAGTTTTTTATTTACTTATATGGACCAATGTGATATAATTGTAAGTAGCAATGAACGTATTTCTGACATGTATTCATGAATGCATATCTTGTTCACGGTATCAATTAATGAGCTCTTTAGCAAATTATATTTTATCTTTTTTGCATTTTGTATGCAATAAGTGTTGCTGAAGTTATTTATTAATATATTTCTAGAAGTAATAAATAAAAAATATCTCTTCCTAGATACTTGCTTTAAAAGAAAAGATTGAAGTGGCACGTTCTGAAAGGTATAGTTTATACATTCATGAAATACAAAATAATAACAATAACAATAATAATAATAATAATTCTGAAAATAATACTAAAGTTTTTTTTTTTTTTTTGCATGATTTCTCTCTTTAATGGGGAAGTAGTTTTTATTCCTGAACTAATTTGTTGTTCTCTGCCTTATATAAATAATTTAAACTTTTCATTCAGTACCTTAGAAAATAATGAAATGATAACAGAACTGAAAAGGGTTCATGAGAAGGAAAAAGATATGCTGCAAGAAGAGAACAGAAAACTAGGTCAGGAGATAGATAGAGTAAGTTAAAACGTTATATTGCATTGTAAGAAATGATTAAATTTATTTGATCATTTCATAAGGTTCTTATTTATTTTGGTACTAACATAGATTTTATTCCTTTTATAGTTATCTCAAGTGGTTAATCGTCAGCAGGAAGATCGAAGAAGGATTGATGATGATATCAACCATCTGAAAGATAAAAAGGATACTATTGCTCAGTGGGAGTCTCAAGTTACAGAAATAATACAGTGGTAGGTTTGCTGCATTTGAAATGTTTCTTTAAAGCACTGATAAAACAAAAAATTTATACAGTCAAAAGTCTTTAATCTGGATGCCCATAATCCAGAATGATCTATAATCCGGACCTCAAAGCTACAAACTTTCTGCGCATGCGTAAACCATTAATGCATTTACGCATGCATATAATACTTTTATGCATGCTTGTTTAATGTATAATGGATGGTATAAGCTAAGCTAAAATTATCTAATTATCTATTTCAGTTAATGTTGCAGATTGCGTTGTTCCTTAATCTTCGAATTGGATCTTGCTTGTTATTTTTTTGCAGGCTATTAGAGCAATTTTATAAAAGTAAGCTTGAACTTTCGATTATGTCAAATAGAATTTCCAATATGTATATTTACTGGAATATGCCAAAGGATCTACAAAGCGAAAGCATGTTTGGATGTCCATCAAACAAAAAGTGGAATTGCTACAAAAAATGGATAAAGGCATATCCTTTGTTTTTCTAACCATTCTGAAATCTGTTTATCAATTTCACGCTGCTCTGCGGGGGGAATATCGTAGTGCGCAATGAACTGGAAGTTGATCTGTCAGCACTATCCTTATCTTCAGGGCAGATGTTTTTATTTTATCTCGGCTTATAATTCCTTACTAAATGTAGTATTTCATCTCAATCTACTCCATCTTTGATATGATTTAAATCAAATTTCTCGTCATTATAAATATCACGAGTACACATCAAATAGTTTTCTAATTTTGACTATGCGTAATGTATGCTTTACGCATGCGCGCGTTGAAAGAAATGTTTAATAAAGTAAACAAATAAATATTAAGCTTTTTTTTTTTTTTTTTTGTAAATTTTGATACCCTTTGGATCATAATTGCTCTTTATTTCATAAATTACGATTTCGCATTTTTAATTTTATAATTTCTGCATACCATCTTACCAGATTTAAACTGATGATAGATAATCCGGAATTGCCGAAGTCTTGATGAGTCCAGATTAAAGACTTTTAACTGTATATATGTAGTGGGGGGGTTGAAGATGCTAAATAACAATTCCAACGTTGCAAGTGTGTAGTTAATATGCAATAACTATGTAGTTACCGCATATTGTTAAAAACACATAAAAGGATAAAAGCATACATTCATATTTGATTTTGAGAAATATAAAACGGTTATATTATATATGGTTAAATATATGTATAAAATTGTTTCTTCCTTCTTTGCGTTAAAGAAAAAATTATCATTTCTCTTTCATAGGGTGAGTGATGAGAAAGATGCCAGAAGCTATTTGCAAGCTCTTGCTACAAAAATGACAGAAGAATTAGAGAATATAAAATCTAGTGGTCTTACTCCATCAACTGCTGTGAGTTTATGTCTAATGTATATATACAACTTGTAATAATTATTGTGAGATGCTAATGTTTTTACAATTTCAATATTCTTGATGTGAACAAGTCTTATTACAATATATCCTATTCTGCTGTCACCATAAATGTTTAAAGTAATATTTCTGTTGAAATTCTTTTTTTAAATTTCTCTTTGTTAATGTCAGACTAAGCATCAAGGTTTTTGAGTTTTAATAAGGAAAGTTGAGTTTCTAATAATTTCAACCCCCCATTCTGAATTAATATTCACTTTTATATTCTGTAATATTCTCTTTTTTAATGTTTCTGTTATTTCATAATATAAATATCTTATTATAATTATAATTGAAAGTTGCACAGTCTTGTTTTATAGCTGTGTCAAGTAAAGGTGATATTGTTGAAATTTTAGAATTAGGAATTCTGTAATTCAGAATTTCTAATTTTTTTTAATGTTAGATATGTAATGAAATTTCAGAATGAAGTAAACAAATTATCAAGTGTTGCTGTAGAATTTCTGTCACTTCTAAACATACAGTGTTTAGTCATTTTCCAAAATTAGTCATGTGCGATGTACAGATTTTGATAATATTTCATTTTGTGTTATTAAAGCAGTTTACTAATTCGATTTTAAATATGCAAATCTTAGGAAAAGAATTGGCGAAACAGGCGTTCACAGAAGCTTGAGAAAATGGAACTGCTTAATCTCCAGTCTAGTCTTAACAGTGAAATACAAGCTAAACAAGCTATTGCAGATGAGCTTAGCAAAGTCAGAGCTGAATTAGTTTCTGTGCAAAAGTATGTATTTTAAGTTGAAATAGTAATTTATTTAGACTTATTTTATGTTCAAGAGCTATTGTAATGCTGTTAGCATCCATTCAGTGATAAAGATTACATTATTTTGGTAGCAATAATATTTATTATTAAATGCTTAATTGTAAAAATGTATCTCTTTCTTGCTATATATGAATTTCAGTTTTTGTGAATAGCTATTTCCTTAATATTTTTTTGCTTCTATATTTTTAATATTTATTCATTCTATTTAATATTCTATACTTATTTTTTAATAGTAATTATAAGTGTATGTTTCTTCAGAATATTTACCATTGATTTACTTTTTGAATTTATTTCGAATTCTCGAGTAATTTTTAAAGAATGAATTATTTGTATAAAGTTTATTTAAAATTTTTCTTGAAGGGAACTGAAAGAAACTAAGCAACGAGTGGAATGTCTTAAAACTGAGTCATCTAAGAAAGATCATATAATACGAGAACTACAGCAAAAGTTAGATTCAACTGGTGATAACTGTAAGTAATTCAAGTGTAATATTTAGCTATTAGTATATATAATAAATAGTATATATAATATATAAATAATTTAAATGAAAATCTTCAAGTTAACTTTCATGAGAATAAATGCAATTTTATCAAAGTAATTATTTCTGTATAAATTCAACTCTAATTCCTTTAACATTTTGATTTTATCTTTCTTCCATGTTTATACTTTTCTGACTTTTTCAGTTTCTGAAATTTATCAAAATACTTTTTTTAAATGCTATGTTATTTATTTAAAAGTGTATATACTTTAAAGAGAAATGATTGTAAAAATCGATTTTAAATTTATTTTGTGCCATGAAATATTAAAAATTTTGTGATTAAAATACATAAATGCTTGTATTTAACAAGTATATAAATATTTTAGATCAATTTTTGAAGAATGCTTCTCATCGGCTTGCTCAGAGTGAAAGTGGAGATTCTGCTGGTGCTGGTGATGAAGCTGATGTTGAAGACAATCAGCCGCCATCTGTATCCAGTAGCAAATCGAATGTCTCTAACAACAGTGGGGTACATGACTATCATTACTTTGTTTAAACTGACAATTATTCACCCCAAGTATTCTATTAATGGTTTAAAATTAAATTTAGATCAAAATACTATTTCTATATCTTCATCTTTTTTAAGAGGAAAAGTTTCTTAGTTTTTTTATTGCACGAATTTTATTGAATAAACAAAGGCAAATTTCATTACTTCATTTCTCACTCACACAAAAGAAAAAGGAATTACAAAAGGAAGATTTATTTTTTCCATGTTTTCTACGATTAACTATAAAATTATTCTAAAACTGTGTAGTCCTTGTTTTGCAAATAGCTTTAAGAATTAATCAAATTAATTAACCTTCTGGTAATTTTTAAAAATATTTCTTTCTAATCAATTAAGCATTTTGCTAAAAGTATAGGCTGTAAAATGTTTCAAAATTTTTTTACTGTAAAGAAATTTCAAGCAGATGTATAAATATTTAATAATTATGACAAGAGACAAGATATATGCATTCATTTTTATATATGTCTGTTCCTTCTTTTCTTCATACTTACCATTAAATTTCTCAGTATTAAAAATTTATTGAAACATTTTTTTTAAGTTTAAATTTTTTTGCATATCTTGTGATTAGTCCAATACTATTAATTTTTTGAGTCTATACTTTAATTATTTCACTTTAACAAAATATTTTCATTATTGTGCAGATAAAAGTTTTGAGATTTATAATGCAAATCCTCACCTTTCCTAAAATTTTTTTATCTTTTTCCTTTCTTTCTTTTTCTTCTCCCCTCCCAAAATTCTCAAAAGGAAAATGTTTTCTTTCAGTTAAATTCTGGATTATAGCTCTTGTTATGGGTAACTGTAAACCATCAAAGAATGCTATTTTGAAATATAATGTATGAATATGTAAATATTAAATATAACACTACAGATTATAGTCTCATAATGTTAATTGTAGGTTAGCATTAAATGTATGTTTTGTTTATTAAGTTTTACCTTATCTTTCACATTACTCATTATTTTTAAATTTAAATTTATTAATTACCTTAATTAAAGTTAAATTTGAAATTATGGCTGCCTTGACAAATTATTTAAACTAACATATTATATTATTACATTATTAACTAGTTATTTGTTACAGGAAATGATATCAGCACCTGTCTCTCCCATGTTAGATCCTCGATCTAATGCCATTTTGCCTCCTAAGGTAATCTGTCTTTCAATGCGTATTTGTAAAACAGTTTCACACTTAAGAGTAAAGCAATTTCTGTGTTTATAATAGTACATTTTCATGCTTAGTTTCAGTTTATAACCTGCATATATAAAACTCCAGAAAGACTTTAATATTACAAAAAAAAAAAAAAAAAATCTGCATTTGTAACGCATCTATTAAAATAAATTCTCTGAGAAACTGATAATATAGCTAGTTTATAATGAAAGTAATTGCAACTTTGAGGCAACGAAAATATACTATGAATCTTTAAAATCCTGCATCACTTCCATGCAGTTAAATCGTAAAATCTTAAGAATGAAATGAAAGGATATCAGTTTTACTAAATATTAAAGTTTTGCCACTGCAGACATTTTTTAGCTTTCTTATTTGTAACACAAATTGATAAATTAACTTTGCTGGTTTGAAATATTATAAAGATTTTATCATAAATGATTTTAAAAATTTTTGGTAACTTTTAATCACACTATGTTATTTCTCTATCTTCTTTAATATAAACTATCATTATTGCTTTTCATTATTTTATAAGATAAAGAAAAGTATTGTCTAAATTTAATTCAGCTATCATATTTATAATTGTTTTCTGAGAATAACTTGTAATTTATGACACATAATTACATAGTTTTGAACTTTAATGTGTTTCGGAAATATAAGTAGTTATTAAATAATTGTTCATAATAAATTGTTTGTAAATAAATTAATATTATAGATAATATAAAAGTAAATATTTTATATTTTTATAGCATATTTCTGAAATGTACAATCTGACAGTATCATGCTAACATCATGATCTTTTATATCTAATGTTTGTGTGTAAGTAAAATGGCTGTGTATTTCAGTATTTGATAAAATATGTATTTTTAATATAATCTTCTTATCCTTTTCTGATAAGATTAAAATTAATTGTTTTTGTAATTCATGTAAAATTTAAGATGAAGTTTCTTATGATGAAGTTGGTCAAAATAAGGTATTTGGGCATAAAAGGTAAGATCCAAAAGTTTCCAGCTGACTATATTTCTGTAAGAAAAGAGAAAAATTGATTTTTTTATAATCTGAAGATTTCTTAGTGAATTATTCCATTACTTCTATCTTCATTTCTTCATCATCTCTAAACCATCATCCGTGAATCTTAGATCTGAGTTTAGAGAATAAGTGATAGTCACTTGAATCTGGACTCTAATGAGGATGTAAACTTCCTGAAACCCCCATTTCTTTGCTGCTTCTTTAGATGGCAGCTACATACATGGACTAGAACAGCAGTCGTCATCCCTTAGAACTTCACGGACCACTACATATATAATTTTATATTTGGCAGACCACTAATATGAATTAAAAAAAGGTAAATACAGTTATACAGTAATAATCAGCAAACTACACATATTTCATTCACATTGAAAAATTACATGAAAAGTACAAAAATCTTACCTTCTTTTACAGAAAGCTTCACATTTCCATATCACTAAAAAGGAACTTCATAAAAAGCAAGAACAAGCCGGCAAATGCAAAGCAATATCAATAAACTGATAGTGTTATGCCGCAAATTTTTAATTATTATAAACATAATAATCATTGCTTGCTCAGCAACGATGCCATCGATCAACATTAGACAAAACAAAAACTGAAACTTCTAGTGATGCAATTATAAACAAGAATGTGGATGGTTATCATAAAAATCCATCAAGTTTTGCCTAATGACACAGTGAAAAACTGTGTCATTAATGACTACAATAGCATATGCTTGTAATTCAAAAGGAAAGAAGATTCCAGTTCATGCTTTTATTGATAACAGCAGCATATCTATGGATGCCAACTCTCACTTTTAAATGTCACTAGATACGCTTGCAAAAGTAGCTAAAAAGCCCCTAAATTCAAAAGGAATTTCGCTAAAAGTAGTAGATAAAACTTTTTAAAAAAGTATAATCCATATTCATAATAGGTGTTGTTACTCGTTATTTTTTAAACTGAACCTTCATAAAAATGTAAATTATGTCCCAAGTTTTCTGCGGACCATCAAAAAGTCTTCATGGACTACCAGTGGTCCGTGGACTACCGGTTGGCGACTGCTGGACATTATCGAAAAGAAGATAAATCCTTGACTCAGTATTCTGTGCCTTCCTTATTACATTAGCAGCTTATGCAAAAAGATTTTCATAATATTATCCTTTATTCTTGTGTTCCTTTCTTCAAGATTTATCACAAGAAACTCTTGATGTATAAAATTGTGGCCTTAACATTTTTCACTGATTACTGTACTTTTGCTTTTCTTAGTGAAGCTGTTTCTTCATTAATTCCTTCCTTGATATTAAATCATAATACAGAGCCATGAATTCTTTTTTATGAATTATTATGAAAATGTTCTTTGATTTGCACCTGTAAAGCTGAAATAACCTATTCTAATTGACAAACTGATGCTTTTAAATTGATGACTGAAGTTGGACACTCTTTTTGCAGAGACTTTCATCATGTGATGTTTTTTGTGTAGAATGTGCAGAATAGTTATTTTAGAGAGATCCAAACATGCTATCTATTTAGAAACCTCTTATCACTCAATATGATGAGAGTCAAGTTTTCTAAATCAATGTCTGTTGTGGCAAATTTTAATGAAAATCATTTCTCATATTTTCATTGTAGGATATGAGGGAGAGGGCTAACCTTGAACACCACACCACCCAAATATTGCTTTATAAGCATGAGGATTTAGACCTTTTGTAGTGAAAATGAGTTCATAGTACTCAATTTTAAACATTTTACTCAAACAGTTATCAAATAATAATAATAATAATAATAATAATAATAATAATAATAATAATAATAATAATAATAATGGGGATATGCTAATGAAACTGTCAAATTTACTCATTCAAAATTGCCTTAAAATGTGTGTAAGAGTAATTTATTGCTGAATGATTTTTTTTAAATGGAATGCCAGGAAATTTTTTATCTTACCTGTGAATATCAAAAATTACTATCAGATAAAAATTGATTAAAGCAAAATAATTGTTATGTGATTGAATTATCTGTTGCTCAATCAAGTCATGGGATAAAGATTTTTGTCCATTATGAGAAAGTGCCTCTTAAATGGGAGTATATTGGTTTCTGTTAAATGGGAGTATATTGGTTGAGGATCTGGAAACTCTCTGTTAATAGGACATAACATTAATTTAGATTTTACTTTATGTTATTGTGGAAATTTTTATAACAAAGAAAATTTCTTTATTAGCCTAAAGCACATCAGTTTTTGGTACGTACCTTCGTGGCGCCATTAAAATGTAATCATTGTACTTCCCTTATGGTTGGTCTCATCAGGCAAGGAGCAGTCTGTGAAGGTATTATTCTTTTATTTTTTAAATATATATATATATATATATATATATATATATCAGATAATAATAATACAGAATAGTTGATTTGAAATTTATTTGAGTGGTATATGTAGTTTTCTAAAAATTTGTACAGTATTAGTGTAAAATAATAGGTGTTGCAAAGCGAATATTGTTTAAAAATATTTCATTGTTACAGCAGAGTGCAGTAGGTTGTTGTTCCCTATGAGTAGTTTTCATAGGGACCTAGGCTTACTAATTTGCCCAGTGGCCATCATGTTCTGACTGGACAGACCGGACTAAAAGCATACTCCAAGTTCAGGTACTTAAATACGCACAGTGCCAGATTAACCAATAGATAAACATGACAAATGTCTAGGGCCTGTAATGGGAAACCTTTATTTAGTGCAGAAAAAGAAGGGAAAAAAATTGTTTTAAATAGATAAGAATAAGAATCAGACTGTGATTAAATCATCCACTCTGGCTCCAGGGAAAGAAGCAGACAGGTCATTTACGAAAGTTCCTGTACTTTTATTTATACTTAACCGCTTCCTTACAAATTTTTTTGAAAAGAATTGCAAAAAATCATCACATTTTTTTTTATTTTATTATTAAATACAACAAAACGAAATGAATTAAAATATGTAGGTTTTAAGTTGAATTTTTAATTTTTTGAAGGTGTAAAGGCATTTATTTTTAATATTAGTTTACTATTCCGAGTTATCTCGGGCAAACGAAAAAAAGTTAAATATTAATCTTTGTATGATAGTTTTTGAAACAAGAGACAACACAGAGTGATACCTGACGTTCTACACTGGTATCTAGTCTCTTTTCTTACTGGCTTACCGCTGGAATCTCTTTCATGGGAGCACAGAGTACACTGTCTTGTTGGATTTGAATTTTTTTTTTTAAATTTTTCCTCCACCTTTTCATAATCACTATCTGAAAAATCATCACTTTCGCTATCTTCCATCATCACCATTATTTTATTTTTTTTTCAACGCATGCATCCTTCTTTATACATTACTAATTCACAAGCCAACGTATACTATACAGTAGGGATACATGCGACCAGTCCCTCCAAGAGAACTGTGCAACCAACAAAGTTTGGCAAACTGCCATCAAAGCTGAATATTTCCTTCATTTCCCAGACCGAGTAAAATGATGATAAAAGAATCGTACTAACAAATTCTGCTTCGCCCGAGTTTTCTCGGGATAATAATTACCTGCAATATATACAACCCGAGATAACTTGGGATAATCAGCAAGCAGTTAAACATATTCAAGCATAGAATAATTTTAGCCTAGAAAATTTATTTCATTTTTTAAACAATAATAAATTTTTTAAAATTAAAAATATTTTAATAGCTCTTTAAAAAGACCAAATATTTATGTTGTTGTTCTTAAATAATACAAATAAATGTCATTATAATGATTGATTAATTAATTGAATCAGATTCAGAGCTATGTTATTGCACCACAGTAATATGTGTGGAAAAACTCTGGCACTGTGCATAAATATGTAAACTGTGTTCTACATTTGCTCTTCACTGTTTGTAAGTTTGAAATTGCAGTTGCTATTATAACAAGTTACTATGCAAATTTTCAATTTATTCTGTTAGTCATTTTGTGTTTTATCAGAATTCAACAAAATATCACTTATTACCTGTCAACTTGAGTAAGCATTACAGAAAAGAAAGTAAAGCAGAAATAAAAAAGAAAAGTTGATGCATTTTTTTAAATACTTGTATTTTACAAAGAGAAAAAAAAAGATGTAAACATATCAATGTTAATGCATGAAGAGAGAAAAGCAGAAGATTTGGATTGATGTAAAGTACAGAAGTAGAAAAAGTGGAAAACATAAATGAAAGTGAACTATGAATGAATTGTTAGAATTGTATGAAAAACATAACAAGAATTTCAGGAATACCTATCACTGAAGGAAACGAAATAAAAGAAAATCTCTACGAGTGACGACAGAAAAGAAAGGAATGTGAAGACAAACAATAATACTGTTTGAAAAATCATTCTAGAATTATAATCTATTTATATGACCAATATATTTTATTTCCATTTAATTAAAAACAAACAACTGCCGTACACATGTTTAATAAATGTATCAGGAGTAACTGTTACAGAAGCTGGAAATAAAGTTACAAGATCATTTAAAGGAGCTATTTTATCATACAAAAGCAAATGGTGAAAGAGTTCAAAGATAATAATTGATAACATCTACAAACCACAGTAAGACAACATATTGGAATAGCACATTACATGCCTAGCACAGCACATTCATTTAATTTAGTTAGAATATTGTTACACAGTATTATCTGTGAGCTACATTGCATTTGAATTTATTATCTGCAAGTTACCCTGCACTTTAATTTATTAAAAGAAATTTATGCATTTTTTCCCTTGTTTCACCAAGCTATTGAAATGCTTAACCTTTAAAAAAAAAAAAAAAAAGAAGAAGAAGAAGAAGAAGAAATGATATGCATTTCATTATTAAGATATTATATGATATTGAATGGTCATGCGAAGCAGATGCAATAAAAGCAATCAAATGGCTATAAAGAAATGTAAGATGACTAGTTTTTTTTTGCTCTTAAAGTGAATCGCAAAATCTATCTATTCAAGATGAAACAAAACTTAGAAAAAAATAAGAAAATTAGGGTTGTTCTAACTAGGGTAACTGCTGTTTTAGGTGGAAATATTGACAAGGAAAGAATGCATCTTGCAAATACATAAGATCCTAACAGGGGCGTAGCTAGATTGGGGGCAAGGGGGGTCATCTGTCCCCGGGTGCAGAATCCAAGGGGCGCCAAACTGATGTTACAACATTTTAGAATTAAATGTTTTCCATCCTTGGCAAGCAGTAGGGGGCGTGAAATCTTCAATTGTCCCTGGGTGCTGAAAACCCTAGCTACGACTCTGGATCCTAATAAAAATTAATGTTATACTTTTGTTACACAATACTTTTGTCACAATATATATATATATACTATACTTTTGTAACAAAATTTTGGCAGTACATACATGATTTAAAAGAAAAATATAAGGAAATGGTTAATGATGCATTCAATATTTACACTAATAATTTTTCATTATACCAGAAACTCTTCTATGTTTCAGTTATTGTTGTATTCTTTATTATTGATAAAAATTTTAAGTGATATTTGAAATTATATTAGAAGCATTTTATATAGATGAAACTCTAATTTAAATTTTGTCTGCAGCCTATTAGAAACCTAATCTTTTCTGTGAGTGAGATCACTATGCAAGTCTTTTCCTAAAAGCACAGTATAAAATTTCTAATGAAAATAAGCCTATTGCATTCAGAGGCATATCTGTAAGAAAAGAATGATTTGTAAAGTTCATGTGTGAATTCCTGTAGTTCTGAAGAGCCTTTGTACTAGTCCCAGCTAAGTACTTATACATAAGCTCCAGTGCATTGAGGTGGGTTAGGAGCATAGACTCCAACTACTACGGATTCTCCGTAGTTTCTACGGAAATTCATGAAAAACTATGAGCTATGAAAAGTATGGAAAAAACTACGGATTTTACAGAAACAAGAGCAGGAGAACCAGTACACAAAATGGAACCAACTAATTCATCCGATGATTGGCTGAATACTCGTGTTATCATATATCACGTGTTGAGTGCGTTCCTAGTTTTGAAGAATTAGCCAATCGTAGATCAGTAACTCCAACCGTTACGACTTATCATAGTTCCACCAATTGTCTGTCTCCCAGGTTCCTCGCTGATGCGTTTAGGCTGCATTCTGCTCCATTGTTTAGATTATGGTGAGATCTTAGCATGTCTTGTGAACTGTGAATCAGGTGGAAGTTTTTTGTTAATAATGTTACCTCAAACGAAGACGCCAAAATTATCAAAGCAAAAATTTAAAGATTCATATTCTTCAGAGTTTCCATGCATTAAAGCATCCGGAATTTCTGTGAATCACACACACTGCAGTATGCAACAAAGACTTCTCAGTTGCACATGGCGAAAAAGATGACTGTAAATGACATGTTTGTTCTCAAAAGCATATAGAACTTGGCACTGTAAAATCTAAAGAAATAACGAATTTCCTAATAAAAGGATGAAACGATCCTATAAAAGCCGAATGCTATTTTGTTCGTTTTTAATTGAACATAATATTATCGCTTTCTGTTTCGGATCATTCCAAAGAGCTTTTCAAGCAATGTTTCCGGATTGCCATAGCAAAAAAATTTAGCTGCGGTCATACCAAACTGCTGCTATTGTGAAACGCTTGCAGAAAATACTGTTGCTGATATATAAAATCAGTGTGCAGTACATCATTTTCTCTAAGTATGATGGAAGTAATGATAACATGATAACAAACTGTACCCATGGTTATAACAACTACAGTAAAGAAAAGGGAGTGATAATTACTTCATTGATTTATTTTAGATGCACGAATAGGATTTAGAATGCACAGAGAAGGTATTTTTAATGTTATAAATGAAAACTTTAAAAACAAGGTTTAGAATGGAAAATGCTTATCATTTTCTTCAGATAATGCTAGTAATATGATTGGAAAGTTTAAAGGGTAGCATCATTTATCAAAATGCATCAACCAAGTATATCACCCGAGGTTGTCCGTGCCACCTCTTGCATATAGCTGCAAAAAAAGCTACTGAAAAATTATTGGCTCAGAAATTGAAATGTTGATAATAGATATAGATTTTTACTTGGAGAAAAGTTCGAACGGAAGCATAGCTTCAAAGTTGCTCAACAATTTTGGGACAGAATGCAAAATCTCATAAAATTTTGAAATATTGCAGTACGAGATGGTTGTCTCTTTTAGAATCTATAACAAGGATTTTGGAACAATGGGATGCTGTGATAAATTTTTTTGGAGATAAACCAGATAACAGTGAGAATGAAGGAAAGAGATTGCAAAACATTAAAAAAATTTTACAGTCACCGACCACCAAATTGTACTTGTTATTTTTGAAAAATACTTTGTTTATAACAGTAAATATTAATTTGCAACAACAAGCTCCTTATATACATAAATTGAGAAGAGAACTTTTTGAACTTTTAATGAATTTATTTGTTAGATTCGTAAAACCATCAGTAATTTCTAAAGAAAATGAAGATGTTATTCTAACGTCTATTCCATTCAGAAGTATAGTAAACAAAAGAAAATGAAATTTTAGTGATTGGTGCGGAAACAAGACTATATTTAAAAAATGCCAAGTTGAATGAAAGTGAAGTGAACATTTTTTCAATTCTGTGCGAGCTTTTTTTTGTAACTGCATGTTTCTATATAATTGATAAATTTCCACTGAGTGATCCATTTCTAAAACATGCTGAAGTTGCTGACATCAACTTGAGAACTGAAGTCTCATTTTCATCTGTTCTTTACTTGATGAATACTTTTCCATCCATTGATGAAAAATGTCTTAATCAAGTAGAAATTGAATTTTCCATGTATCAAGTAGATGATTTGAAAGAAATTGTAGATTTGCGTATTGATATAGCATGGGGAGAAATTGCCAAATTAAAAAATATGAATTAGTGTATTAAATACAAAGTATTGCCTTCTGTAATGCTTGCTGTCTTAATAATACCTCATTCAAATGCAGCTTGCGAAAGAATTTTTTCTATTGTTAAAAAAAATCAGACGGAATTTCGACCAAATTTAGGTCTTAAAACTCTTGAAGCAGTTTTGATTGAAAAAATAAATATGCAGGCAAATGAAGAACTGTGTTATAAAAAAAAAATTCTCAAAATCAGAACTTAAGCTTGCTAAGCATGCTACATATAAATCTTTGCATTCATAAATTATGCGTATTTTGTTTAATACTTATATGTATCATTCTTGGTTATTTAAATTTTATTCCCTGTAGAAATCATATCCAGAATAAAGATATGATTTATAGCTTCTGATTTTTTCTATGATTAGTAGTGATTTGAAGTACTTTTTATTAGTGAATGCTTGAGGAGTTAAAAGAAAATTTCTAATTAAATGTGCATATAATTTACAAGGTATATTTTTAATTATTCAGTTTTATATGTATATGGATTTTAAATGTAATAAAATTGATTACAATTAATTATTAATTTAAAATTAATGAATGGTTAATTACAACATACGCTACGCGCACATTTTCAAAGTTGTAAAAATGTCGTTCGCGCGTTGACTACTGACAAGGTTTGCTGAAGGTTGGAGTCTATGGTTAGGAGGGAGAATTGCTTCAAATAAGCCATTCACATCATATCTGCTATCACAAAACTATTTGCAGCGATCATTTGGGCCAAGATAAACTAGTGTCATCTATTTATGGCTTCTGTTGGCAAGTATCTAATTGTGGACCTTCAGGTTAAAGCTGAGTACTTAAGTAATTGGACTAATGGCATACTTCAGTTCCAGGTACTGAAGATAACATGTTTCTTCTGCTAGGAAGCGAGATCATTACACCTTTTTTTATCAAGCTTCTAGGTCATGCAATTGAATGAAAATTGCATAAGGTTTTAGCCTAAATACATTCTACATTTTTCACAATTTTTATGATATTACATTTCTGTGAGGAATATTGCTAAAATAGATAGGAAAAATGTGAATTTCATCTTCATTTTCTTTTCTTTTTTTAAATAGATTTACTGGTTTTTAAAATAACTTGCATCAGATAGCTCATTTTAAAATGGATTAAATATATAAATTTATAACAAATGTTAAAGAAATCACAAATACTAGTTCTGGAAATGTGATTTTCTGAAACAGTTATGTACAGTTCTGAAAATGTCATTTTTAGAACTGTTAAATATAATTTCTTTGTAATAATAATGCTGAAATAATGCAGAGAATTTTCTTTTAAAATCATATTCTCTTTTTTTGAATACAAAGATTTGCCTTTGATTTTGTTCAAGGTTCTCCCTGTAAATAATGAAACCAGTCAAAACATTTTCAAATTATCCCATATTGAAAATTATAGGAAATGCTAAACATAACACGCATTTTCTTACATTTTTATTGTAGTATGTGGTTTTGCCTGCCATGTGACATGTCAAGAGAGAGTTCCTGCAATGTGCCCTGTGCCTCCAGACCAAAGTCAGTACAAAACCTTTTAAATGGGTTTATAAGTTCTACATATCAATTAATCAAAATTACATTTAATTGTCTGAATTTGTTTTATTCATTTCATTTAGCTAAAAGACCAGTAGGAATAGATCCAACCCGAGGCATTGGCACAGCATATGAAGGTTATGTGAAGGTATGTATTATTTTATTATTAGAAACTGTCATAAGTATGGATGTTTAATTTTTTATAATTAAAGAATAATCTGGCTTGTAACTTTAATGAAGATTGATTTTAATGTGTTTATTCATAGGTTCCAAAACCAGGGGGTGTGAAGAAAGGTTGGATGAGACAATTTGTTGTTGTTTGTGATTTCAAGCTTTTTTTATATGATTTAGCACAAGACAAAAGTGCTCAGCCATATGTGTGTGTGTCTCAGGTATTGGATATGAGGTAAAAGAATTATTTATTTAGCAATTTTTGTACACAATTTTTAGATATGGAAATAAATATGGGGAATGTTTTTTATGTGGGGGATGTTTTTTTTTTTCCATATTTAAATAGGAAAAAATGTTTTATGTGGGCACAAATTTGCTTTATCTATTGTATTATAAAAGGAAATCTTAGTATTATTACTTTAATTTTTTCATTTAAGAATTTATTATTCATTTCGATAATATATCTTTTTTCAGAGATGAAGATTTCTCAGTCAACTCGGTGCTGGAATCTGATGTTATTCATGCCAATAGAAAAGATATTCCTTGTATATTTAGAGTAAGATTTCATTAGCATAATGCTTTCTCAAGGAGAATTCTTTATAATTTATTTCTTTATGTGATAATCTTTGATGAATTAAAGTTTGTTTAGAAATTATTAAATTAAGAATAAAGCCACATAAACATGAAAGATTAAAACTGTTGGGAATATTTCCTAGATAATTTCCTAAATCAAACATATTTTAATTCCAAGCCTCTGTAGTATAGTATTGTAAACTGTGCTTACTGTCAATGTTTATTTCTCAGATACTTATTAGCTTAAAATTTAAAAAAATACCTTAGTTTCCTGTTTGATTTGGTGCTATGCTGTAACTGCACTGCATTTAACTGACTGAGATCAAGCTTGTTAATTTTGTGTTTACAAGTTGTTTTCTAAATGGGTATTTTTGTTGTTAATTTTTTTTATTCTTTATATTTCACTTCTTTAGATATTTGTTCTTCAAATGAGTTTTCTGATTCAATCTTGGTTCTTCATTCTGCTAATATTTTATGAATTACTTGGCAATTTGTCCTTCAATTGGTTTTTTTTTCTTGCTTGCTTTTGGGTTTTCCTATTCCAGTGATGTTTCAGACCTCCTTCTTACTTTTATATAAGTCTTCCAATTGAGTGGTCTGATATTTTTTTTTTCTTTCACTATTATAAATATCTGTCCTTTCACCATTCTTGCCTTGTCTTGATGAAAGACGAATTAATTTTATCTGAAAGCTGAACCTATCTCATACTTCAAACAGGTTCATATATATTCAAATATTTAGTGTCTCATTCATTGTTTCTTTCTTTCTTTTTATTTGTCTTTTAGGGAATTTTTAGGTTGTTTTTACTTATTTAAAAGGCCAATTAACAGCTTTCTGTTTAAAAATAATGAGTACTTTATATAAATTGTACATGATACTCAAACTGTTGAATGATTACATGAAACATGTTTATAGAATGAAGATAGGGCTTATGTTTTTGGAAAGGCATGCAAAGAAATGAGGTAAACTTGTAACATATAATTGGCATCTATCTGCTTGCCTGAAATCACACTTAGAAATGTTTTGAACATAAAACAGAATCATTCAATATCAGAAGACTGAGCATAGGTTAGATGAACAAGAAGTAAATGTGTTAGGATGTCCTGATAATTTTAAGGATAGATTGGAGAAATAAGTTTTGAATGTAGGAGGAATTGTATTACATATTTCCTCTGAATGCAAAAGTCTTGATTACAAAGCCTTGTAAAAAGCAGAGAATGCTGGATGTGAATATTTAGAAATTTATTTTTGTGCTTAGTTTCCTATCAACCAAACCAGAAACCTACTGTATTATTAAGATATCATGTAAAGGAAATCCTCCTCATATATGACCAATTTATTCAGTTTTAATAGCCTTTTTTTAAATTTATTATATGCTTCACCATTCGGCACTACACAGAAAAGAAGGGATACCCCCTGAAAGACTTTTTAAGAGAAACAGGCTTATACCCATGTTCATACCACTGTTCATACCTGCTTCAGAAGAGATATTATGGAGACTGAAGTAATTAATACCTTTCATTTAATACATTCCTGAAAATATATGTCAAAAAGACAAAGCTTATCCACATATTGCTAGAAAAGTTTGAGACTTTTCAGCACACCAGAAACGATTTCTTCTTGCCCATCCCTCTACTGGAAATTTATGGGATTTCATATGCTTATCAAATTTGTTCTGCAGTTATTACAGATTAACTTTAGTAACAATTAAAAGCAAAATGGAATGCTAGTCCTCAGCTAGACATTCAAACTTGTCTTATTTAATGCCATGATGATCATATCCTCTTATTCTATTGTATAGCAGTTTCATCAAATTCAGATTTTGGGCATTTGAAATTCTTGTATTGCTGTATAAATAATAAATGTAATTATTTCTTTGTGTTATTGCAAGTTGTTTGTGGAGCAAATTTCATTCAGTTCTGATGATTCCTTCATTCTGTTGCAATTTTCGCAAACAAAAGTATATAAAAAGAGATTTGTTTGTTTGTTTGTTTGAAAGGTTTCTTGTTTCATTTATTTAATCAACTATTTTTTTTTAGATTACTACTTCAATGATGGATCCTCCCGGTTTAAAAAACCAAACTCTTATGTTAGTTGATAGAGAAAGTGAAAAGAACAAATGGGTTGATGCCCTTACAGAGCTTCATCGAATTCTTCGCCGAAATAAACTGCCATCACGAACTGTAAGAAAACCATTTTATAAAAATAACTCAATCTCTTGTTCAACTGAATAGTTCTGCAAAATGTTATGTATATATATATATATATATTATTTTATATTGTACTTAGATACTTATATTTTTCTTTGTTTTACTGTTTAGGTTTTCCAAGCCAAAGAAATTTTAGATAATACTATTTCTATTGTTAAAAATGCCTTATCTGCTGCAGTCATTGGTAATATTATATTTAAAAATTGACCTTATTTTTTGTTTAACTCTTACATTTGAGTCTATGTTTTATAGTTTTAACTTTCTCCCTGTAGTTTATAATTAACATTCATATTTAAAGTATAAATTTTAATGAGTGTTTTTTACATGTGCTAAAATAAGGTTTCTGTAATTTTTTAAAGTGAGATGTTTCCAAATATTTACTCAAAAGAGGAAAATTGTGTGAAAAATAAATAAAAAGTACATGCTGAAAGCTGAGGAAATTATAAATAAATCTGTTATATGTTGCACTTAAGTTAAGATATTCATATAAAATACATACACTAACTAAAATAAATAATATAAAGTTTCAGTTAAAAATATCATAAATCACAAGCATATTTAATTTTGAAAAATTGCCTCTGCTAAAAATATATAATAGTCTTATTTATAATTTAGATTCATCACTTTACTTTTGAATTTGTTCAAGAAGTTCTCCTTTTGATACTTGCCTACATAATTCAGCCAAGGAAATTCTTACAATGAGAGACTTTTGCTATGTTCAAAGTTTTCACTTTTCTACTTTTAAGTCTATTCTTTTCATTTGAAAACTGCACCTTTATTAATGCACAGCTCAATAGCCCAATATTAAGCCTGTTCAGTAGTTGCTTTTGATTCCTGTCAATGTCACACAAAAATTGGCTTATCATAACACTTTTGAATTCTGCCTTATAAAATGAGCAAAACTATCACACCATTTTTAATGATACTCTGCTCCTTTCTTAGTTCATTCTATACTTCAAACTTGCTTTTAAGTGTTTTTTTTTTTTTTTTTTTTTTCATACATGATGTTTTATGAAATAAGTTATGTTTTGGTAACAGTCTTTTCATGAATATGCTTTTTTTCTTGAATATTTTTTTTAACTCACCAGCTTGTTTACATTCAAATGGTTCCAGTGCATGGATTGAAGAAGTGAATGTTATACTTGCCTAAATATGCAGGCATTATAAAAATTTAATGCACGGCTTTTAAACTTTTCATCTGTTGTGTATCTTTCCTTTTTGTAATTTTTCATGCCAATTTCTCATGTCAGCGAGGGAAAAAATTTCAGTGTTCCTGGAAATAAATTTTCTGCTAGTCTATTGACTTCATCCTCAGTTTAATTAGAGTAATCCTCTGGTATACTTAAATAACATGTTCCAGACCTTCTGCCAGATATTGTACATAACATTAATATGATATATATAAGTACAGTCTAGCTTAATTGATAAATTATGTCCAGTAAGTTTGTATCAGTATTGAATAAAGCAACAATAACATAATACATTTCAGTAATAAAGTACCACTATCCACACTTTACAAATGAGTTGGCATAAATTGAAAATATTGTTAATTAAGCTTATATTATGCAAAATATACCTGTTTTAATTTTAAAATTAGGCAGAATTTTAGTCTTAGATTGGTATGAATTTTGAAGAAAAATTATCTGCATTTTAAATGAATTTGATATAGGTTTTCTGGTATTTCCCCCCTAATTATAATTTCCCCTAATTTTCTGATGTTTTTCTAACATTTTTCATATTCAGAGTTATTTAAAACTTTTGCATGCAACTCTTTTGTCATAAGTTTCTGCATATTGCATTAAAACGTATAATAATAAAACCAAAAATTTTAGAAAGAAATGTTTTCAATTTACTTAAATTTAGAAGTTACAAATTTACACACTAATTTATTTTATTTTCCCAATGAATACAATAACAGTAAATTCATTACAAAGGATTGAAAAGCTACTTATTATAATATACACTAATACTAATATAAAATTATATTACTTAATTATTTATTTTTTAGTGTTAGGATAAAATTGCTTTTGATTAAACAGTTGCTACCCATATGGACATTATCTATGTATGATTTTCTGTTTGCTGAAAATTTAAGCAATCAAAAGCTTAGTCTATTTTAAACAATTTGTTAATTGCAATAACATATGTTCATTTGTAGCTGAATTATTGAAAAATTGAACTATGTTCATTTGTAGATTGTAGCGCAATTTAAATGTAATAATTTTAATTATGCTATATAACATTTTCTTGCTTATTTTTCTTCATGCTCTGAATTTAAATGTTAACATAAAATGAATGAATGAAGTAAAATGAAACTTAACAAGGCAGTTAGTTAATATATGGTGTCAATAAGTGTTAATATATGCTGTCACATAACCAGAACATCTTTTGCTTTTCATGATCTCAGAGTTTGGTGCCCTTCTCTGTGCAGACCCAAAAGATTACAAAACATTAAAATATTACATGGGAAGATAAAATGAAAGATTAGATTTATTTGTGAAGCAAAAAGTTAGAAAGATTATATTGTTGAAAAATGTCGAAAATAATATTTTTGTTTTAAATTTTAAAATCTGCACAGATTTCTCTTTATTTTCAATGAAAATTATTAGTATGCAATAATTACAGCAATATTACTTATTGTGTAAGATAAATTAAGTGATTGCTGCTATGAAATTTCTGTTTGAAATTGCCGGTTGGTATAAATTATTATAGTTGACACATCTGCACAATGAAATTCCTCTGTCTCCCATGTAAATCAATATTGTTCATTAGATAAAAGAGGATTGTTTTTTGTCTAAATTTTAAAAGATGTGTCTGCAATGTTTTTATTTACTTTCAAAGAAAATTATTAAAATATCTGATTGACTGTGTAATCAATGTGACAATATAGGCAGCACAAGAAGTAAATGTTGACATCCCCCCCCCAAAAAAAAGAAGAAAGAAAGGGAAGAAAAGACAAAAAAAGTAAAAAAGAAAGAAAGGGGGAAGGGAAAAAATTGCACTGGTACCGAATTTTTTTTGCGATTATATTTGTGAGAAATTGGAATGCAGCATATTTATTGGATAGAAAGAATAAAACCTTTGAATTTGGAACGGCAAATATATTGAACATGCATTTGTAGTTTAAAATTCTTGTTATGTGTAGTATATTGGCTAGGTTTTTCTGCCTCCTCTTTCTAATAAAGTCAGAAGCATAACTGTCAATATTGATGTCTCTGATATTGAGCTGCAGCCACTACAGTGTAGGCGAAATGTAAATCACTTAGTCACAAGTTTTATCATTTTATTTTTAAGAATTTGCACTGTAATAAGACAAGAAAAGAGTTTGTTAATTATTTTTATTTATTTTAGATGTAAGTATAATATTTGAAAACTAATTATTAACTAAATAATTAAAATGATGATGTTAAAAACAATAAAAAAATAAACATAAAAGGATCATTCAAAAATAAAACTGTTTCTTGTAAAAAAATGCTATCTCCAAAGTCTGCTCCTTCAGTACCTTTCTAACTATGCCACAGACTGGATAACATTATCTTTCAATATACTGTCAGTATTTGAGCAAATATACTTGTCTAATCATTTTTGTTGTCTTTTGCTACATATCAGATCTAATTTACATAAAATTTTATACTGAAACATATTTATTTTGAATTTTAGATCGAGACAGGTTAGTTCTTGGAACTGAGGAAGGTCTTTATTGTGTTGATCTGGATAGAGAAGGTATACAAAGTAAATGATTTACACTACTTTGGATTTGTTTTATTGATGCATTTGTTTATTTATTAATATTAAATTTGTGATTTAGAGCTAAATATTTCTCATTATAGTTTTGAATCAAATGTTAATAGACATTAAATAAGACATTTATTCAGATTTGATTCTTTATGTCAACTGACATTCCAAATCATTTCATATATATATGTTAGATATAAGAAAATAATGATAGCTGCTGTAAAAATAATTGGCAACCTCAAAATTAATGGTTATAGATTTGGTGCTCTCCTCCTAAATTAATCTGTTTACTCAAATTTGAAATCCTATGTTATGTAACAACCTCAAATTAACCAATCTTAGCTTGTCTCTACAATTACATCAGACTTAGTATAAATACTGCTGGCAAATAAACTACATCATCCATTTCCGTTGCTTCCTCTTCATAAATGTCTCGCTGCTATACCCTCCTTTGTTTTTATTCTAAGATGATATAATGTGCATATAAAAAATGTTGTAATTGCTTATGAGCTGGAAATATCTTATCTACTAAGAAATTATGTGATATGCTTGAAAATAAAGATTGGTGATTTGTCGGAATCTAGTCTCCCGATCTTCGTGTCTTCTTGCCATTCTGCCAGAATGACTATGTATCAAAATTATTACATATATATATTACAAACCAAACAATGCCAATAAAATTCTCATTAAGTCTTTCTCAAAAATTTTTACAAATGCGTTTTCAGTTGATTAGAGTTGCTATTACAATTTTATCAATCTCTTTTTTTAATTCTAAAAATATAAAATAAATATATGACCCCTAAGGGTAAAAGATATCCTAAAATTGCATTATAATAAATGGGAAAGATGCGTGTCAGTATCAAAATTAAAATCAGATTAAAATTAGCTTTAGATGTATGTTGATTTTGTATGAAAAGACTATGAATTTTTAAAAACAGATAGGAACCCTCTGCTTATTGAAAGTTGATTTTTGCCTAGTTTGAATTTACATAACACTTTCACTAAAATTTACATAAATTTAAATTCATGATTTGCATTTTTCTTAAGTCTTATTGAATATTTAATGTTTCCTAATAATGAGTACTAGCTTTGGTTAAATCTTTGAATCAGGATGATGAGGAATTTAAATATTTCTGAGATTTTTTCTATTTCCATATCAGAAGCTAAAAAGAAAGAATATTTATCAGTCCACTCAGAAAGAACACTCAGAATGACAGTTTCGAAAATGTTCTTCTGAAATTAAAAAATGGAATCATAGCTATCATTCCAAGATGTTACACAAAAGTTCCGTGGAAATATCAATCGTGCAAACTATAAGAGCATAGTCGAAAAGATGGTTGAAAGATTTTCAAAAACTGGGTTGCTGCTGGGATGTTCTGTATAAAATGGGAGCGATTAGTGATGAACACGGTGAACAATTTTACCAACAGATATCTTATCACGAAGTTTTTGCTTCCGTGCAAAAAAGATTAAGTGGTTCATGTCGACTGTTATTAGCCCATCAAGAAAGAACGATGCACGTGGCGAATAGGAAACTACTAATTTAGCTCATTAAAACATTTCAGAATGTATTCTGACACTGTAACATATAAATAAATTGTGATGTAACGTATGCAAAAGCATTTTTGTAATATAAAAAAAAAATAATATTTTTCATTGTTACTGTTTTCATTATCGTCATTCGCGTAAACCCTTTGGATTTATCATTTCGAGTATCATTAGAAAAATATGCAAAATATCGCATGGAAGCTTAAATACGGATATACAAACCAGGAAATAGGATGCGAATATCTGATAAAGCATTCAAAGTAGAAGCATCGTGTTCCCTTTCTTTGAATCTTTCTCTATTTACATTTTTTACTGTAAAAATAACTACTATTTTGGTATCATTTCCGATTTGAACTTGCTCGCTTTTAGATCTAATGCAATATAATCAAATATATAGCTTTTAAATTATATAAATGTAAAATAATTATATTTATATAATTTATAATATATTAATAATTATACATACATAATGTTATTATGTATGTAATTTTATTATTACATTAGATAAATTTATATTAGTAATTAATAAATTAATTAATTAATTATTAATAATATTATAATTATTATTCTTAATATTTTAATAATTTTATATTTTTTAAGTTGTATAAAATATAGCTTTTAAATTGTGTTATGCCTTATGAATGATAAAAACCAGTTCTTTAAAGTCTTATTCGTTAGTATTAAGATTAGTTATGATTAAGCTTTATTAAAAGGAGTTTTTTAAGGGGGGCTAAACAAGAATTTTTTATTTTTTTTTTCCTGAAGAGAGAAATTGGTTCATATTTATGCTTCTTATCGGTAAAATCAGGCACGAATCTCGAACAAAGTTATTTGTTCCCCCTAACTTAAACACTAGGCCTCTGGTGGACGCTTTTATTAACCCTTAAATGGTTAAGTGACGTGTTCACAGTAACCCAAGCAATGATGAAGTATTTCATATTTTTTATTTGAAAACTGTGCTCGCTTTTCTTTTTAACCCTCCGATTTTTTGTTATGTGATAAGCAGAGAATGCATTTACTCTTCTGACATCTAATTAACTTTCTAACTAAACCGCGAAAGTACGTGTCAAAGTGCCTAAATTTATGGAACACCTTGTACTGTGGTTGAAAATATCCATTTTATGTGGACAACATTTTTAAACTACCCCACTGAAGTTTCAGATTTCTCAAGGACTTTAATTTTCTTAAACTAAACCTAGATTACTTAGTTTGCAAAATCTCAGTGTGGCTGAGAACGTTAATGTGAATGTAAAATGAGTGAAATGGTAAGTATAAGCTATTAAAAAAGTATCTGCTTTGTTTAATGAAGGGGGGAAATGAGTCGAAAGAAATCGATATTTCTTTTCGTTTTTTCGAAAAGAAAATAAATAAATAAATAAACTCCTTTTGAATTTATAACGGGTTACATACACTCCTTGACAATCTTTTTAAAGAATAATAATTTTTAAAGAATTAATTCAAAAGAAAAATGACATTTCCTGTTCCAAGGATAACATTGTTTGTGCTGAGATTTGTTAGAGTATATTAATTATCATAATTTTTTTTACCAAATTGTGTTGTATTTAGTTGTATTAAATTTATTGTAGTTTATTACGTTATTATTATTTGGTATATATTAATCAAACACAAAGCATGCAGTTATTGCAAAGTAATTATAGCTAGAATCGGCACGCTTCGACTGTAAGCACGAGATTTTAATATACAGGGTGATTCTATGATCATGGGACAAACTTGGAGGAGTGGCTGAGTGTACTAAAATTTTTTTTATAGAAATGTAGGGTCTGAAGTGACGTGTTAAGGCACGAACGCAAAAAAATGACACGGGAGAAAATTGTGTTTATTTAGAAAATCAAAGCAGTTTCTTTGCAGCAATACAGCAGTAAAAAGGCTGACATGAATCTAATGTATGGCGCTGCTAATGAGAACGGCAGAGAGAGTAGTTTGCACCAGAAACATCTTCCGAACAGGCAAAAACATGCCGAAGCATACAATGTTCGAGAGATTGCATTGGTCCCTGTGTCAAAACGGGTCATTTGGCGCCAACTCTGGCAATAGGAGTGGAACAAGAACTGTATGACCACCTCGCATGGAAGATTCCATCTTGAACATTGTGGATGAAATACCCCACACAAGTACAAGAGTTATTGCACATCGTCTGCATTCGAATCAGTCTGCCGTTTGGAGAGTATTGCATAAAAAACAGGTATTGTTAACGAGTATTTCGCAGGCCCATACTTCCTGCCTGCACGTCTCAATGATTCACGTTATCGTATTTTTCTGCAAGAGATTTTACCGGCATTGCTTCAGGATGTTCCGTCTGTCGTTCGTGATCGCATGTGATTCCAGCATGATGATGGATCATTCCATTACGACCTGTGGTCCGGAATTACTTAGAAATGAATTTGTCGGGGCGATGGATTGGGCGTGGTGAACCAGTTCGATAGCCACCGCGTTTGCCAAATTTATCCAACATGGATTTCTCTTTGTGGGGGCATCTGAAGAGCATCATTTACGAGATTTCCGTTGATTCAGTGGAGGACTCGTTGCACGACTATCCACTACGGGTGCAAGCGTGCGCGAAATGCCCTGTCATTTTCAAAGTGTTCGCTGATCCCTTCTATGATGCTACCAAACACGTGTTACTGTTGTTGATGGTCGAAATTTTGAACATTTTTCGTAAATACTCTTTTGCTGCAAAGAAGCACTTTGCTTTGATTTTCTAAATGAACACATTTTTCCTCCCGTGTCATTTTCTTCGTTCGTACCTTAACGGATCACTTTTGACTCTACATACCTATACAAAAAATACATGCTCTAATACGCTTAACCACCCCTCCAAGTGTGTTCCATGATCGTGTAATAACCCTGTAAACAATGCGTTATTTATAAAAATTTGCTCAATTGAAGAAAACTACTTATTAAGCAAAATAGTGAAAGGGAAAGTATAATGCTGTAGCGATCCCGAGAACCAATCAAAGCGCTCGCATCACGTAGTTCAAATATCAAAATATACCAAAGCATATAGCGCTTTTGCGATAGCGGTGCGGTATTTGGCTGTCATGTAACAGATTCACGCTCGAAAACCAACGTCATTTTTGATCGCCAAGGGCATTGAGAACTCATATGCCGCACCACCCATTAGTTGGCGAAACAAGCAAGTAACAACAGATCGAGAAGCGCAAGCGAGCCTCACAAGCTGTGACAATAGATTGTTTTGTAATTACCGTGAAACCACTTTGGTTTCCATGCAAACCTAAGGTTCTTTCTCTGAAAGTAATCGCTTTGAAGCGGTGCCACACATCTCACAATTATAGACAACCAACTTTTGGGAACAAATGTGAATCCACCATTGAAATAATTCTCGGTTCCCCTCCCCTTCCTTGAAAAATTTCGGATTGTTCATTTTTCAACCAATTAGCTTCGTAATTTCATTTCGTGGTTGTTATGGTGTGCCTTT